AAGGAAACCTCAGCGTGAGGAAAACCCTCTTGCACAAAACCAGAAGGAAGCTTTAACCCCTGGCAGGCGCTTCCCACTGAGGCCTTCTTCCAGCCTGGTGCTCCTTCCCATGGAGGGTGAAAGAGCAACCTCGGCGTGCCCATGAGTGCCTCGCCTCAGAGGTCCCTTGACGGTGCGTGGGGGGCACCTTCCACCCAAACACCTTCAGATCTGCTGCTGGGGGCACGTTTCCCTCCAGTTTAAAGTTGCAGTGCCGATGGCGGCAGCAGCAGGAGGCCGTTAGATTGCCTAGATCTGCCTTTTGGCTTTCTGTCCTGCCCCTGGGTGACTAACCTCTCTACTTGTTTGCCTTCTCCCTGGCCTGCTGCCTCTTTCTGTCTTTCAGAGGCCTGATTCTGCAGGACCTGACCTTTGTTCATCTGGGAAACCCTGATTACATTGACAACAAAGTCAACTTTTCCAAGCGGTGGCAGCAGTTTAACATCCTGGACAGCATGAGGTGCTTCCAACAAGTGTAAGTGCAGCAACGGGGCGGGCAGAGCTGGCTTTCAGGCACCACGGTGGGAATGGCGGCGGGATTGGGGCTGAGGCACAGCCCCCGTGGAAGGGGAAGGGAGTCTAAAGTCAGAGCATCGTGATGGAGATGTAAGGAGACCTGGGAAGGACAGAGCTCCTTCCCTCTGTAGGTTAGCTATAACTAAAAATTGTGAAGACATTTTTCTTATATTAGTTTCAAGATCCAGTGCCGTTAAGTTTTGTCACTACTCTTTCAGACAACAGTTTTTCCTCCAGGTGTTGCTGTTGCTGGTTCCTGTGTTCTCTAGATCATTCTTCAATGCTGTCTTGCAGCAGAGGCAGCAGATCTAACAGCTCATTTCAGCGTGATAGGGTCTTTTTTTTTTTTTTCCCCCTAATTCAGTGATGGGCATGATGGTTTTTCCCCTTTTTGGTGTCACTCCACGGTCATGAGTATTGGGCTCAGGTAATGCAGACCCCCAGCGCTGGGTATCCCTTCGAGCAGGGCAGCAGGGTGGCTCGAATTTGGGAGAGGTCCCCAGGGTAGCCCCTTGTTTAACTGCCGCCCTACTCTGGTTTTCCAGACATTACGACATCAAAAGAAACGACGACATAGTGTCATTCTTCAACGATTTCAGCGACCACCTGGCTGAGGAGGCCTTGTGGGAACTGTCGCTCAAAATCAAACCTCGGAACATTACGAGGCGGAAAACAGACCGAGAAGAGAAAACCTAGGAGGAGAGGTTGTGCGAGCGAGGAGAATTGCTCCGCAGACGCACCGAGGGCAGCTATGAGACTGGAGTTCAATGTTTGTACCTGTTACTGGATGACGCACCCTCCCTCCCAGCTGGCAGCGATCCCTGGGGGCGCGAATGTCGGGCGCTCGCAGCAGGCGAGAAGCGGCCGCGCGCGTCGGCCGCGAAGGGCAGAGATCAGCCGGTGCTCGCTGCACTCGCCCTCCTTCTCCTCCCGTCCCTCTGTGCCATGAATCAGCTTTAAACCCGGGGAGAGAGCTTTGTGGAAGGAGGGTCCCACGCAGGCGTGTTACTGGTTTGCTGGCTGATTGCACCCGGGAGTACCCGGGCTTCGGTTTTCATCCACAGAGGAGGGTCAGCAAGAGCTCAGCACCCACAGACTTGTCTCCGCAGTGGTGTTCGGTAGGCAGCAGCTGTGGAAGCCAAGGGTTTGAGTCTCCCCTGCAATGCCGCCTCGAAACGTGTTCATCCCGAGGAGATGAGGATGAGAGAGCCTCGGGCTGCCTGCCGGAGGAGCTCTGCTTTCAGAGAGCTGCTTGTGTTTACAGGGGTCCTCGGTTTACCCCAGAGCTCTGGTGCCTTCTTCGTGGGAGGAAGGCACCGGTCGTAGATATGGAAGAGGCACTGAAAATGTGGGCAGGGACCCGCCATCTCCAGTCATCTTATCCCCCTCCTCCTCTCAGATCTCATTATTTAAGCAACGGTAATCCCTCCAAACCCTGGAAACACCGACTACCCGAGGTACTGCGGTTCACTTGTCCTGTGAACCTGTATCTTTTAGTGATGGTACTAGCTTTTGCACAGTAAATGCTGTAGTATACAAGACTGTAAATATTAGTATTTAGAATCCATTGGGGATTTTTTTGATGCATGTCTGAATACCGATGGGTTTCTAGGGGGAAAAAAAAAAAAAAAAAGTGCAAAACAGTATGTATAAAATTTACACCCAGTGACAATGTTGTTCCAAGTGCTGAAAGAAAAGAGGCTCAGGGCTGGGCGCTGGCTGCGGAACGGGCGCAGGAGCCGGGCGAAGGAGCCAGCGGGCCCGTTCCTGGGCTTGGAGGTGGGAACTGGGAAGGAGCCGTGTGCCCGGCCGAGCTGCCCCGGCCCCTCCTCCCTGCTCCTCTCTCCTCTCACTGTTGCCAAATGGTTTTTTCAGGGGGTCCCCATCTGGCTGACCCTTGGTGCTGTGTTTCGTGATTGGCGCTTTGGCAGGAGCCCCAGCAGGTCCCCGGCCAGGCAGGAGTGAGGGCGGGGGGGGGGGGGGGGGGGTCTCATCTCCCACACACGCAGCGTTAACCCCGACCCTTCGGTGTGCCTTATTCAGCCCCTCTGTCCCCTCTCCGCGTCCCACCCGGGGCATCCTCCCCAGTGCAGCCCCAGCCAGACCATTTCACATCCCTCCTCTGTCCCCAGCCGATGGTTTACAGTGTGGGTTGTGGGTTTGAGTGTACGTTGTAGGTTTTAGCAGCCTTGTGAGGCCTTTTACAGGCACCGTGTCGCGTGGTCACAGGTTTTTACAGAGCCGTGTCTAACAAAATCCTGTGGTTTTAGGGCAGCAGCTCGCAAGGAATACAGACAGGGTGTTTCACAGAGCATCCTTAACTTATTTCTCAACAGCAGCTCCGTGTTTGCTAAAGTCTCTCTTGTTTATTCTGGGTGAATCAGAGTTGCAAGCACTTCCTTCTGCAGATTGCAAAGTCTCAGCCGGCAGCTCTGCCTGAAGGGCGGCAGGAGGGAGCGACAGTGGCGTTGCTCCCTTCACAGGACTGTACCCAGCTCCATGATTTTCCTGAAGATTCGGGCACAGGACTCGCGCAGTGGCCAAATGCTGAAGCATAGAAACGCCCCCCCTGCCCAGGAGGAGAGCGTGGGGTCCAACACCAGTTTGTGCAACCTCAGAGCAGGGATCTTCCTGTGCTGAAACACACATCTGAGTCAGAACACTTCAAAACCAGTTAACTTTTATGGCACTGAGGGCCTTGGAGCCGTGTGTCGTGTCCGGCTGAGGCTTTGCAATCCCCACCCAGGAAGCAGTGCTTGTGTTTTCCTTTGTAAATCAGATTTTTAAAAAATCCCTGACATGATGAGACTGTGAAAAGGCGAATACACCCCGTGTCTGGCGCAGGCTTCCCCCGCCTGGCTCCGAGCACCTCCCTCGCGCTGCCTGCTGTGGCGTGGGCTGTTTTCGGGAGTGTCGTGCGTGGTGGTAGCGCCACAGGCGCTGCTCCCCCCGCGCGGGGGCCGTGGGGGTGCGGGGTTCACGCCCGGGGCTCGATGCCACGGAGGGACAGGAGGGTGCACCTTGTCTTCCGCCCCGCCGGGACGCTCCCCTCCTCTCGCGGGCGAGCGGGAGCTGTTGCCAGGTTCTTGTGTTTGAAACCACGCGCCCTCTTAGCACCGAAGTGGGGGGCTTGTTCTCTGCCCCCTACCAGCCCTCCTCCCCCCCCCCCCCCCCCCCCAAAAGCCAGAGGCTCAGCCCGCGGCGTGGGGACGGCAGATCTGCCCGGCCGCAGCACCAGTTTTCCTACGTTCTTCTCCCCTTTGCTCTGTGCCCCTTCCTGGCTCGTGTCCCGGCCCCGTGCCAGGCTCGCGGCGGCAGAGCGACCCTAGAGAAGGGTCCCCTCGCCCCGAGCAGCTTCAGGGTCACTGACCAGAGACACCCCCCTCTCTCCAGGAGCAGCCCCCCCCCGGGGAGCAGCAGCCCGGCCCAGCCAGGAGCGCGTTGGTGCATCTTGCAGGCAGCGTCCCCGAGACCCTCACCTCTTTTTTGGGGGGGGGGAGGGAGGGGTCTCACTCCCCTCTCTGTGTGGGGCAGGGAGGGTGGAGAAGCGCTGCCCCTGGTCACCAGCCTCTTGCCCGGCTCCCAGGCCTCTCCCCCAGCTCTTTGGTTGTATTATATATTTACCACTAACCCAGTCCTGATGGCGGCATCTTCCTGCAAACATTTCAGACCTGTAACTTTTATATTAAAGACAAATAAAACACCAATAACGAACCCGCCTGACGATCCTGTTTACAGTGCATGCAGCAGTCTGTGGATTAAAGTGACAATCGAATCCACTTCTGGTGCTGGTGTGGCCTCGTGTTTTCTCATGTGCCCCTTGGGGTTTTCCTCTGCCCTTTTCCCTTTTATCTTTCCCTTCTTCCTTACCTCTGTCGAGGTGCTCTCGCCCCAGCACAAGCCCTACACTTGGGAGGGGATAGCTGCTCCCGTCACCTGCCTCCAGGCACTGATGTCCCCCGTGTCGGGGGGGTTTTGTCTCCCCCAAACACACGTTGGCAGGCGTGTGCCCGGCAGCAGCCCAGCCCGTGCAGCGGCTATAAATAACCCCTGCAGCGGCCTGGGCGGCCGAGCACGCTCCTGCGCTATTTCAGTCCTGGACGGGGTTCAAAATTCCTCTGGAAACAATCGGCAGCAGCCAGCGCGGGAGGAGGATGCCCAGACCCACGTCCAGCATGGCCCCCCCAGCTCCCTCGCCAGGGCTGGACCCTGTTCCCGTGTCCCCCCCCCAGCCCGGCCAAGCGTGAGGGGCAGCGGGGGCTGTGCAGCTTTCGGCAGCTGCTTCCCCGGGCGGGCTCCCCTTCCCCAGGGTCCTGCTTGGGCTGGGGCCCCAACACCCCCCTGCTTTTGGAGGAACCCCCCGATTCGACCGATGACCCTGACTTTTGTGGTGGATGAAAGCCCCAGGGAGGGGGAGATCCTTGGCGTGCACAGAAAACAGAAGCTTTGGCTACACCTGTATTTTATTTCAATCTGGAAGCAGCACAAAGGTGGTGATACAGCCTGTGTGTGTGTGTGTGTGTGTGTTTGTGTGTGCAAAATTACCGTAGAAGCTAAATACGAGCTTTTTAGCTCCCCTCACATTATTAATTATCGTGCGCCCGGAGCGGCTGCACGCCTTGGCCTCTCCGTCCAGTCTTGGCCGGTTGCTCTGTCTCCACCGCGCCTGCGAGACGCTCCCGCTGCGACAGGGTCCCGTTCTGCATCTCCCAGTGACCGTCCGCCGTCACGGCATTCCGCATCCCGCAGCAGAGCCCCATCCCCTGCGCGGTGCCACCGCTCCGACACGGCTCCGTGCCCAGAGCCGGCGCCGGCATCGCCTCGGTGCGGGTCTGTCCTGCCCGCGCCGCGCTTCGCGGGGCTGAGAGCGGGCGGGCGAAGGCCCGTGTGGCTCCGCAGCGGCTCTTCACCCCGCCGGGAAGGCCGGGCGCTGCCCCTCGGCCCCGGTGACACTTTGTGGTCACCCGTTTTCCTGCGGCAGCTCCGGCCAGAGTGTGTCCCCCCCCTTCCCCGGGCCGTGGTGAGCTGCGAGGAGCCCCCAGCACCCACCATGTCCCTGGGGCTCGGGGTCCCTGTCACAGGTACAGGGCCACCAGGACGTAGATGACCCAGCTGATGGAGGCGAACAACCCGAAGAGAAGGCTGAAGAGGACCAGCGACTGGGCTTTTTTGGATGCCACATTTGCCTGGGCCATGTCCCCGCGGCCGAGCGCAGCCCGGGTCTGGCACAGGAGGAGAAGAGGAGAAGTCAGACAAGACCCGCGGCACCAGGAGAGGGGGATTCGAGGCGCCAGGAGGGTTGGGTGTAAATCAGGACCACACCGTCCTTACCTCGTGGGAGTAGACGAGGGCGATGACGCCGGTCAGCAGGCAGCAGAAGATGGTCACCAGCACTGACTCCACCATGTAGTCCTTGGGCGGGCGCTGCCCGCGGCCCGCGGGCGCTGGCCCTGCGCTCGGCTGCCCGTCGTACTGCGGCACGGCGGGGAGTTAGAGCTGCACCCACACCCCTCCCCTTGCACCCCCGTACCCCCAGGTTGTGCGTTTGGGGCGCTGCTTGGGACTTCCCCCCTCCCACCCCCCCCCCCCAGAGCAGGGAGGGGAAAGAAGGGGTGACCCTACTGCGGAGCGTCAGGGCGGGGGGATACGTACGGTGGCGTAGGGCAGGGGCGCAGGAGCGGTGCCCGGGGGGGGGAAGGGCCCCGGTCCCGGCTGGTAGACGACGGGCACTGGCTGGGAGAAGCCGGCCGGGAACGGCGGGTAGAGGAGGTGAGCGCTCTTGGGGTCCGGGGGCGAGTAGGGCGGCGGGTCCCCCTCGAAGGCCGCGTTGGTGACCGCCGCCACCACCACGGGCCCGTCCCCGCCGTCCCGGCGGGTGCCGGGGCCGGGCAGCCCCTCGGCCGCCCCGCCGCTGCCCCCCCGCTCCGCTCCTTCGGCTGCGGGGCCGCGGCCCCCGGGCCCGCCCGGTGCGTCGCCCTCCATCCCACGGAGATGCCTGCGGGGGACAGGGAGGCCGTGGGCTGCCCGGTTGCCCCCCCAAGCCCCCCTGTAATTAGCGTCGAGTTCAGGGCTGGGACACGACCCCCTTCGCCACCCCGGTGCCACCGCGGGAGCCTCGAGCTCTCCCCCCCCCACCCCCCCACCCCCTCGCCCCCCCCCACTCACGTCGGTGCCCGCGGGGTCCCCGCCAGCCCGGCCGCCCCCTCTGCGGCCCCGCCGCGGCCCCCGGCCCCGCAGCAGCAGCTCAGCTCCGCGGCCCGGGCGGGTTAATCATTGACCGGGTGTTTGCGCGGGGCCCGGCGCGGACGGGGGCCGCACCCGGCCCGGCCGCCCGTGGGGGCTGCGGGAGGGGCTGGGGGGGTCCCCCCCGGGGCGGGAAACGGCGGCCGCAGCGGCAGGACCCGCCCGGGGCGCGGAGAGAGAAACGTGTATTTTATTTTTGAGATATGAACGTATGCTTTGTCCTTATTTTAAAACATGATGTTTACACGGAGGAAGCGCTGCCTATATAGTCAGGCCCCATCTAGTTATATACAAAGTGTATGCAGAAATGTATGTATTTTAGCTGTATCTATTACTGTTTGATATCGGTGGGTGTATTTGTTTGCGTTCACGCATACATACACAACCCCCCCCGCTGTGCGCGCACCGCGGGTACGCGCCGTGCACGTGCACCCCTGCGTGTGCGCGCCCGCCTGTCCGCCTGTTTCGTCCCACGCGCGTTTCCGCACAGGCGCGTGTTCGCACGCAGCTGCGGATGCGCGCACACACACACACACACACCCACCCACACACCCGCGGCTGCCCACGGCCGCCCGCACCCACACGCGTGGCCGCCGCCGCGGGGGCTGAGGCCGGGCGCAGCTCAGCGCAGGCGGCCCCGCCCCGCGGACTACATCTCCCATCGCCCCCCGCGGCGGCGCCCCGCCGCCCCGCCATGGCCTCCGCCGGCAGCGCCGAGCCCGAGCGGCCGCACCCGAGGCCGTTCCTCATCGGCGTCAGCGGCGGCACGGCCAGCGGCAAGGTGAGGCCCCGCCGGCGCTCGGGCGGGGGGCCGGGGGGGGGCCGGCTGCCCGGCGGGGAAGGGGCCGGCTCGGTGCCGCGGAGCGCGACGGGGCGTCCTTCCTCCTTTTCTCCTTCCTTCGCTCCCTCCCTCTTTCCTTCTTCCCTTCCCTCCCTCCTTCCCTCCCTCCTTCCTTTCCTTCCCTCCCTCCTTCCTTTCCTTCCCTCCCTCCTTCCTTTCCTTCCCTCCCTCCTTCCTTTCCTTCCCTCCCTCCTTCCTTTCCTTCCCTCCCTCCTTCCTTTCCTTCCCTCCCTCCTTCCTTTCCTTCCCTCCCTCCTTCCTTTCCTTCCCTCCCTCCTTCCTTTCCTTCCCTCCCTTCCCTCCGTCCCTCCCTCCCTCCCTCCTTCCCTTCCCTCCCTCCCTCCTTCCCTTCCCTCCCTCCTTCCCTTCCCTCCCTCCTTCCCTTCCCTCCCTCCTTCCCTTCCCTCCCTCCTTTCTTTCCCTTCCCTCCCTCCTTTCTTTCCCTTCCCTCCCTCCTTTCTTTCCCTTCCCTCCCTCCTTTCTTTCCCTTCCCTCCCTCCTTTCTTTCCCTTCCCTCACTCCTTTCCCTCCCTTCCCTCCCTCCTTCCCTCCCTGCTTCCCTCCTTGCCTCAGCCCTTCCCCTGCTCAGTCCACAGTGTGTGAGAAGATCATGGAGCTGCTGGGGCAGAACGAGGTGGAGCGCCGGCAGCGGAAGGTCCTGATCCTCAGCCAGGACAGCTTCTACAAGGTGCTGACGGCCGAGCAGAAGGCCAAGGCGCTCAAGGGCCAGTACAACTTCGACCACCCGGGTGAGGCTGCTCGCCGGCCCGCGGCGGCTCAGGCCCTGCAGCCGCCTTCCCCGTCTTTGACGCGCTGGAGTTGGCGGTTGGGGAGTGGCTGGGGCTCGCTGCAAGGGCTCGTAGATAAGTGAGAAGTGCTGGGTAACAGAAACGCGCTTTCCCCCCCCGAAACCAGCCGCGTGTCTCCCTCGTGTGCGCGTTGCCGTCAGGAGAGCCGCGCTGCTGCGGGCGGTAGCTGCCGTTCTGGCGCACCTTTGCAGAGAGCGATGCTGGAGAGTTAGAGAGCACCCCGGCTTGCACGGTGCTGTCTCCTCATTCTTGGCTCTTGAGAGGTTCCGTAATAAATGACATCGTTCCCCAAATCCTTCCCTGATATTTCTTGTCCACATTAAGAGCTGCTCCCCTGGCTCGAGGGAGTGCTGTGGATTGCGAAGGGGACAGTGACCTGCCCTTGGCTGAAGTCGAGAGCCCGCTGTAGGTTAGCCAGCATGGATAATGCTCTTGAAAAGCATTAAAGATGTCTGAGGTTTTCTAAATTACTCTGAACTAACAGACCAAGAGTTGCAAGAAATTATACAATTACCGAGCGGTTCTGTAAAATTTTACAATTACCAGCTTTACGTTTGGGTTCTTAATTCCATTGTAGTTGCCTATAAACCGCAAATTCTCTCTTCCTTATCTCTGTAACCACGTACAGCAATTCTAGCTTGGGCGGGCAGTGTTGGACTGCTGCTGATAGGAAAGAAGAAGCCATAAGTTCCTTTTTTTTTCCTGGTATAATGCTGGACAGAGTGATTTTCCTTCGGGTCTAGAAAATCTGAGCAGAACGTTAGATACAGCAGCACCTGAGATTCTTCCTCTTTAAACCTTCCTCCTGCAGATGCTTTTGATAATGACTTGATGCATACAACCCTGAAAAATATTGTCGAGGGGAAGACAGTTGAGGTGCCAACCTACGACTTCGTGACACATTCTAGGTAGGTTCAGTTTTGTGTATGTGGATGTCCCCAGCTGGCCTCGGGGACAGGCTGCTTGGCTGTGGTGTGAGACCCGTTTAACAACGTGTCTCTGGGTGGTTTTTCCTGGCAGGCTGGCAGAGACGACCGTGGTCTACCCTGCTGACGTCGTTCTCTTTGAGGGGATCCTGGTTTTCTACAGTCAAGACATTCGGGACATGTTCCATCTCCGGCTCTTTGTCGACACGGATTCCGACGTCCGGCTGTCCCGCAGAGGTAACGTTCTGCTGTCACGGGCAGCGCCCGCCCGCTCGCCTTCCTTACCCGTCCTCGGCCACGTGGCTCATGGGTTTCCTCCTCCCATCCCAGTTCTGCGAGATATGAAACGTGGGAGGGACCTTGAGCAGATCCTCACCCAGTACACCACGTTCGTCAAACCTGCCTTTGAGGAGTTCTGCTTACCGGTACTGAATGTTTCACTAATTTGTGTTTTTACTGGGTGGGGAGGGAAGGAGCAGGGTTGCCTAGGGATTAGCTGCGCTGTAGATGCAGCAGTGGTGGCTTTTGATATTTGTATTTCACGATCCCACACCCCATCACGAGCTGCTTGTTTAAGGAACCTAAAGGGTTGGTCCCTTGTGCTGAAAAGCACCTTAAAGGCTGCAGACACTTTCTCACTGCTTGCTGCCATGGCTGCTTTAGCGTGGGTCCCTTTGACTGAAACACTCCCACTCTGCATTTATTCTTAAGTCTTGCAGGGAGAGCGAAGAGCTTTGTTCCCAACAGATCCTCTCTCAACAGGGAACACTGGTAGAAACCTGGGGCAGACCATTATAGCGTCTGCTTGCTCTGCCATATAATGCAGGGCCGATTTAGGTGCTCACGTAATCAAACTAATTTGCAAAAACCCCTTTGAGAACAAAATCCTGTATGTGGATTAAATAAGACGGAAAAGGCTAGTTCAGGCACCTCTTGCTCTCAATCAAAGCAATTCTGGGATTGTAAAAGTAATCATGAGAAATGCTAGCCTTCTTATAAGGGGGGGAAAACAGGGGCTGTGTGGTGGTAAAGATCAATAAAATGTCATCAGAGGCAGGAGGGAGTTTCGCATACACATTGGGTACCTTGGCTCTCAGCAGAGATTTAGCAATGGCTTGTGAAATGCTGATTAGAACCAGCTCTTGGCAAACAGATCTCAGCCTTGAAGCGGGTGACCCGTTTGAAGGCAGCATACTCTTCAGAGGTGTCAAAGCAACTGCTCTGTGCTTCTACCCAGTGACTCACTGCAAAGGGACAGCAAGAACAATCCCTGACCTTAAATCCAGTTAGCCGGCATGACTTCTCAATTCATTTAGGTGTTACCATGACTGAGAGCTTTAACTTGCAGCCTCGGAGCACAGAAACCTCTCCATCTTTGTCCCCAGCTTTCTGGTGTACGGTAGCTTCTTCCTAGAAAAAAGCTGGCCTTTCCCATTAACTGTCTCCACCACTGTTGCTGTTTTGCAGACGAAAAAGTACGCAGATGTGATCATCCCCCGAGGAGTCGACAACATGGGTAAAGTGGAGTTGGGTTCTCTGATTTCTCTGGGGAGATCACCTCTGGGGCTGGGCAGAGAGCCAGCGGCACGCCACGGCCTTGTTTGCGTGCTTCTAAGGAAAGTTGCTGTGCTTTGGAGGGCTTCAGGGGAGGGAGCTGCTCGGCCCGTGGAGGGCTGGAAAAAGTGACGTGCGATGGGAGATGCAGAGCAGGACACCAGTGTTAAAGCTGGTGTTGGAATTGCTGGTTTCTGCTGAGGTCAGCCCTCGCTGCAGAGGGCAGGCACAGCTTCATTTAAGGGCTTGTTGTTAAACCTGGGGTCGAGCAGGGCTGGATGCTCCACGTTTTCTACGTGTCCTATATTTCCCGTTCCTCTCCGCAGTTGCTATAAACCTCATAGTGCAGCACATTCAGGACATCCTCAATGGAGACATCTGCAAGTGGCAGCGAGGGGCAGTGAACGGGCACGGTCGGACCTACAAGCGCCCGTTCCCCGAGCAAACGGAGAGCAGCAGCAGCAGCGTGCTAGCGGCCGGCAAACGCTCCCACCTGGAGTCCAGCAGCCGTCCGCACTGACCCGCCGGCGTCTGGAGGGTTTGCCTCTGGTCCAGACCAACACTGAAGACAACTTTGGGAAAGGACTTCAACAGAATGGTTGGTGAAGTGCCCTTTAACTCAGCCTAGCAGCGGAGGGGATACTGGTGTGAAACCTCTCGCAGAGGGGAGAGGGAGTCCTCCCCTCCCCAGCCCCTCCCTTTTCTCCCTACGATGTCTGGAGTTATTGTGTTACTTGATGAACTGGTTAAAGGCAGTGCTACTTGCTTTTTTTTTTTTTTTTTTTAATTGTCAAAATGAGATCTAATGCTGAAGTCTCCCCTGAAAATTAAGCGCTACCGGGTGAGTAGCAAAATGCCCCATTTCCCTGATGATAATTTTCCTGCTGAGGAGGATCATTTGCCTGTGTCTTCAAAAGGAAAAACAGTCTCTTTATCCAAGATTAGCTCACACCCTGTTAATTTTGAGAAGCAAGTGGAGTCCTTGCTCTTCTCCACCTTGTTGGCACCTTGAGTTCTGGCATTGCTCTCCTGCTGGCCAGCCTCCTTTTTAACCAGTAGTAGCATGTGGGGGCAGGAGGGTTGACCTGTAGAGGAACCTCTCCCCTGAGACAGAGATGAAATCAGGACTGTCAGGGACAAATGGGAGCTTGCAGTTCATTGGAGGGACAGGCCCAAGAACTTGTGGGGTTCTGGTTCCTAATTTATCCCTTTACTCCTCAACACTGCTATGCTGTGTGATTGAATTTTTTTTTTTTTTTTTTTTTTTTTTTTTTTTGCACCCAAATAGTCTCCTTTGCCACAGTTACTGAATGTGTGAGCTCCAACTGGATTGAGTTGCTCATGGAAACACAAACCTGACCTTGTCAGTATTAGTGTCTTTTAAGGCATTTCTGTACTGCTGGGTGCAGATTCTGCTGGGCAGAATCCGTCCACTTCCACAGCTGAGTGGTAAGATCAGCCAGGGGGAAAGCTGTGAATTGCAAGACCCTGTTTCTGGTGGCACGAACAGCTCCCTGGACATGCTTCTACCCTCAAACAGGGTCGGAGCGTTTGCCTTGCACTCAGGCAGTTTAAACTCAAGAATGTCTGTTTTTTCCAAAAAGAGCAGACGAGGCTAGAAGTAAAAACAGTGACTTCCCAGTTTCTGTTGTTTACCCCAGATAAGCGATACTGCAGCAACATGGAAGTTTCTGGAAAAAAAATTCTGAAATTAAGTGCTGGTCGGGCCTTTGAAAAATGTCCTTGTGGTATCCTTCTTAAGTCTTGGACGTACAGTGTAATTTTAAGAATGGGGGTGGGGGGAAATACTATTAAGAGGAACTTTTTAATATTTGTTAGTTTTCTAAAACCAGGGTCTGGCTGTGTTGGTTGTGGGTGTGTTACTTTGGCTAATAAACAAATGAACAGTGAGCAGAAATGACCATTTTTATATAAAAGGTATTTGTGCTACTTGCACAACAGCAGCACAAAGGTACAGAAAGGAACACTTCTGGAGCTGCTCTTATACTCAACATTTGTTTCTCCCTTTAACTCAGAATTGTTAGCTTTAGTTCTGTCATGAAATGTTAGAGAAAAAAAAACTTTAAAAAATACAGTCTCTACTGTCATCCCTATAGTCTTGGCAACACTGGAAAGTGGTAAAGGTTTGTTATCTATTAGCGATCACCACACTTCAGTGGTACATCTCTAATGCTGAGGAGCAGTTTGTTTCCTAACTGCTGCTGGGTGCTGTTTAGCTCAGGGTGACAGACTTAGAGTATGAGCTACTGCACTGAAGCATTAGCTATCAGGGCTGATTTAAGTAGGAGCAAATTAGTCACTAAAACCTACTTTGAATGACTGTGGTGTTTGATCATGCCTTCCTCTGGGGGTGGGAGCTCAAAGCAGCCTTGAATAGCATTTGTTAGAGTAGTAAGGAACTCCACAGTAAAAACCACCCCGGTCTGTCTAGGACTGCTGTTCTTGGTCAGCTTAGAGCTGTACTGCAAGATCCTGCTGCTGCAGCCACATGAGAACAAATACCAGATGTGGCAAGGTACTATAACCCTTGTTGAATACCTGTTCAGAGCTATTACAAATTCCCCACTGAGTGATCCCAGTCCCTCACTTGCACCTTCTCCTACCCAGCGAATTCCTCTGCTGGTGCAGGCCAGGGCACGGGCTGAGTTAGTTACCTGCAATGTTTTTACCCCGAACCCATGTGTACAAGTTAGAACAGGTTTCCTTGTCCGCATGAGCCCTTCTGCCTTGCTCAGAGTTTCTCTTGCTGTGAGCTGGGAGGTGTAACCCTGCAGCCCAGTAAATACAACACTGCCAGTGCTAGGAGCAGGCCACAGGCTTCACAGGAACGCCACGAGGCTGAAGGATCCTCCTGGCTTTGGCTGAGCTGGCCTGCCTGAGGCTTTGGTTTAGCGTGTTTAGCTCTAACAGCAATTTTTTTAATGTCCATTTGTTTTATTTTTGCTTAGCTTCACAAAAATGATGGTTATGCCAAATGATTATAGATAGATAACAGGAACAAGTCATTACCCTATGCAGAATGAACTATTTATAAATTTAGCTTAATGCTCTAATGTAATGAACTAGGGATGACAGCTGAGCATTGACAGTGGGGGCAAATAATGCATTATTGAGGCATATAGTCATGGGATGATGCTGAAGACTGGAGGGCCAATTACTGATAGTTGAAGAGGTGTAAACTTTGGAGCTGGGAAAACCCAGTTTTTAAGAGTAACAAAGAAAATGAAGGAAAGTATCCAGTATGTTGGAGAGTGTCCACTTATAGTAACTTGTAAGATGGCATTGCAGACCGAGGTGTTTGGAAACCATATAAAATAGCTCCAAGTGCAACACAGTGCAAGAAGGAAGAAACCATCAACATCATACTCCCAGGAAGGAAGAAGAAACCCTTGCAGCGTGTGTTTCCCAGTAACAGACCTGGGATGCTGGTGACTGAAGTCAGCAACCTTCAGACCCCGAGGGGCAGTGGAAGGGTGAATGTATCAGGGGTAGAAACTGGGAACTGTGCTCATAACAGATATGTTACTGTTGAGACATTTTCTGTAACAATATTACTTTATTTTCTTTTTGTGTAATAATTAGATCTGGACTACTATCAGTTATCTGATCAGACTGTTAAGATTCCAATTATACTAACAATAAATTCTTGGCTTTGCATAAAAGGTGTTTCCCTTTGCCTGTAACAAGGTTGTAGTTGTTAGTGTTTTCGGATAAGGATGTTCCAGCTGTCCCTCCAGCGCAAGTCCTTCAGTTCAGTAACAGACAGGGAGGGCTGCCCGTAGGTCACAGGGCTGAATGTGCAGTAGACAAAGTAAACGGAAGAGAACCAGGCTACGATCAATGCACTGAACATGCTCTTGAGCAGCAGAGATCTGGGATGAGAGGGGGAAAGAGCAGTCAAGTTACATCAAGGCTGGTCAAACACTTCCTCCCAAAGGAAGACCTAAATACGGCTTATCTTCTCTAAAGGCAAATGACAAAGCATGGCCACTGCTGGAAAAATTGCTGCTTCCCCTGCAGCAGCTTGCCAAGGTGACAACCCTGGAGAAAAGAACTGTGTCACTTCTCTTGTCTATCTATCTGTTAAAACCAAATACCTGCAGAGATGATCGCTGAGATGCTGTAAGACGATGGGAATCAGGAGAATCTGGAATGTGAGGGCTGGCAGGTAGTGGTACAGGAAAAGTGTTTTCTCCATCAGGAAGAAGGGCAGGTAATTCACAGCCCAGCCTCCCACACAGATCCCCCCGGCTGATACCCACAGCTGCCATGTATCTGCAGGAGACAGGAGATGGCTCAAAGCACAGTCCCTGGAAACCCAAAGTCTCTGAGATGTTGCCTACCATCATGGTTTGGTTGTTTTTTTTTTTTTTTTTCCCCACACTCTAATACAACTTCTAACTTAACCACGCCCAACTGAGGGAAATGATTCCATTTTGTCACACCTTTATGAAGTACCCACCGAGACTGATCAGTGCCAACATGAAGCAGCTTCACAGCATGACAACAAAATCTTGCCAGAAACGTCAGCATAAAAGCACCCGGCCACATGGAGGAGATGGTACCTTGGTCGGAATGAACACATCTAAAATAAACCCCTCCCCACACAGCCAGTATCTACCTCTTAAATCATCACAAAAGTGCTCAGTAGAATCCAAATCAAAGGCCTGGATGTTTCTTACATCCAGGGAACGACTCGAATGAATACGCTGGCTACTCTGTTGTCTCATGAGGTGATGGTCATATTGCGAGAACCATGATTAGTCTCTTCATGGGCTACTCTAGATGTTCATGTGTCCCTAATAAAAATTTCAGGGTTGTGGGCAGGAAAAAGTGCTATCATAGCCAAGCACGCATTTGCAAAAATGGGGCTTTAGGGTCATCAAAGTGCAGCAGACCAAGCGACAACCCCCCAGCTCAACACACGCACAATGGAATCAGACCTTCAGGAATGTCGTAAATCTTTCGTCTTCGTCGTATCAAGTACCACAGGGACAGACACATGTAGACAAGAGCAGCAACGTTAGCTGAAGTCCAGGTGACAACATTCCCAAGGAGGTGGATCTGGGCCTGAAGGATAGAAGATAGGCTAAGCCAGAAGCAGGAACATGCTGCAGGTCTTTTTTAGGTTAGTTTAAATATTACCTACGCATACTTGCTAAATTAAATGTTAGTGTGTGCCTGGCTAGTAACTGGATCTTTCCTGAAACAAAGCTAGTTGATAAACTTTGCTGCTTTAAGGGTCTTTTGTAATGTAAGGCATTTAAAAGATGCTATTGGAGATGAACTCATCTTCTAAATGGAATCAATAATGGAAACTATTAAACTGCAGTTCTCCTTTACAAAAAAAAAAAAAAAGTTGTGCAAGACAACATCATTTAATTAAAAGCAACTACTGTCAAAGCTGTATCACATGCCAAAAATAGCCCCCCCACCCTCAGGGAAATAGATTCTTAATACAGGAAGAGTCTATCCTGGAGCAGCTCCTTGGCTGGCACTGCAGCCCTGCTCTCACGGATCTAACATCTGAAATGAAGTCTGCTTTCTTCACCAGGTTCACATTTACTTCTACCTCTTGTACTTACACCAGAGGTCGGGTGGAGCCAGTAGGCAATATTTGTGTCCATTGTGATCCAGTCAAGAGCAGAGGAGCTGTACTTATGTTCTGTGTCTTCATTTTTTAATGTGAGTATTTTCCACTAGAAAAAAAAGTAAACAGAAGGCTTTCAGCACTGGAACAATGAGTGGGATAGCAGGCATGGGGGAACAGTTCCAGATGTAAGATGTTACATTCTGAACCTGGAAGTGGAGAAAGATTTTGCATATCTCCTACAGGATCAGTACAGATCAATATTATAATAATACAGATCAATACAATGGTTTTATTTTGTTCTTATATAATGCACTTTCCTTAGTGAATTCCCACAATGTCAGTAAGGGGCACCAACACTACTCACTGCATACACAACACATTATCGTTCAGTTTCAGACCTTACTCCCCCTTCTTTTTTTACACAATCACTTGGCTATTGGTTACTGAATAGCATAGGTCTCTAATGCCCTCTAATGCAGAAACATTTTTTTTCAGTGAGGAAGCCAAACTATCAGCAAGGAATAAACAATGAATCCTCAGGCTCAGAGTTTGCAGAAGTGCTCAGGTTCCTGTTCTGCAGCAGAAGGAAAAATGAAGGGAGTAACAACACACTCACCTGCAGTTCCGTGAACTTTGCCATGAAGCTGAGGTTTTTACTTATGTCCATCTGTGTGGGAGAGTGGAGTTCCACTTCCCTCTCTTTTTGCTCTTGGCCTGGAAGAAAACAGCATAGCTCAGAAATAACCACGTAACAGGTAGAACGCTAGAAAAGGGAGAGAGAGCACGAGCGACAGTTCCTTCACTCCACACTCCCAGGAGCCTTTCTCTAATACGTAGCCCAACTGCAAGACTGCTCTAAGGGGATTTGTAAGGATTCTGCCATCGTGGTAGAGCCAGAGCCTGCTGAACCCACATACACACAATACCACCCTCCCATCAACATGAAGAGTCCCCCAGCCACAGAAATCTGCTTCAAGACCATGGCCAAGATATACTTTTCCCGTATCTGTGCTCTTCCACATTCCACACCATGCTCTGGTGGTAGCCTTTGGACAGCTTCTCTCCAACCACCTCCAGCTGCCGGTACCCCCACTCGGGTAAAGATGCTCCACTGAGCTGAAAGTGAAAGACAACTATAAACTTACAGTCCTGCCAATTTGGACTTCAGGATGGCAGTTCCCAGGCCCTGCCCGAGCAGTAGAGGACAGCAAGGGACTGCTAGAAGGTATGTGAAGAGTCATCAAGCAATACTGCTCAACAAATGCTAATGCCATAAAGTCAGTGATTCTGCCAAACTTAACTATTCCAGCCACTGTCACCACCCCAGTTGTGCACAGTGGCCACAACCTCCTGAGAAGCAGGGCAGCTCTACATGCTGAAAAGGAATGAAGTGTGAGTATGACCACCTGAAACACAAGCTGCTCTTTTATAATATTGAGCAAGTTTATTGTACTCTTTTATTTAGTTAGTTAGTTAGTTGTTTTATTGGTTTAGGCATTTGTGCAGAGAGATTAGCATCTTATGTGATTACAAAACCTGCATGGAGCAAAAGCTATAGGCAAATAAACATAAACCCACTTGCCTTTAGCACTGCAGAGGTGTTCACATGAACAAATCTCACTTCTGACATAATTGTCTTCCACACATCTGTGTCAGACTCCCGATTTACAATTTCCTGCAACAGAAAGATGTCTTTTGATCATCATGTTGTCTCAGCTGTTTCTGCTGGAACATGACAAGCTCCTCCCTTCCCTTTGACCACTCACCACTCTCCAGAGGTTCTGTACTGGCATGGAGATGTTATAATCAATATAGCAGGAAACTTCTTGGGAGTGGGGGCTAAGAGGAGCAGCAACATCATGCCTAGCAGAAGAAAAGTGAAGTAAGATCCTCCAACACCATTTCCCAAATCCATATAGAAAGCAAACCCCTAAAGGCATTGAAGTGGCTTAGACCAGATTCAGTAATAAAGCAAAAAGTAACGCATTTATACAGATTGCACTGTTTACTCTGAAAGAGAACACTCCACGCTACCAAGAGCTGCCAGGAACAGGCTCAGAGGAAGCCAATACAGATGCCTGCGATGCCGGGCTGAAGAACAAGCACTGATTGTGACAAACAGAGATGTTGTTCACTGGCATTTCCAATAATGAACAAATTAAGTTTGGAAGGGACACAGCAAAATCCTAAACTCAGAACAAGCCCCTTCCTAATCCAAGTGATATTCAAGTACACGCAGACGCCCTTTGGGAAGCAGTCAGGAGGCCGTTTTTGCAAAACAGGCAAGAATCCATGGCAACTGGCCACAGCACACCGGATTCTTCAACCCATCTTCCTAACTTTCAGAGCACATCCTTCATGCAGGAGCATGCCAACAAAGTCAGCGGAGTTCACTTTGGGTTAACAGTCACACAAAACACTAAATATCTGCACCTGCCTGGAGCGGAGGCAGTGACAGGGCAAGGATGAAGCCTCACCAAGGGGACTATGTATTTAGGAAGCTACAGAACTATCATAAATTGTGAACATGGGTGAAACCACCACTAGCCCCTCTAAAGGCCACTAGTAGAGAAGACCAGAAACAGCTAGCAGCAACTGAACAGTTTGTGATTAGTATCAAACCCTCTGCCAAGTCAACGGTAAAAAATACATAAGCACATGGCATCCTTTCTCTGGGCCACAGGGATGGTTTATGTAAATAACTGCATGCGGTCCCTCCTAGCCCCACCATTTTAAGAATCCATGAATAACAGGCAGTTTATAGCATATCTAAATGCAAGGGTCACTGTGCTTCAACCCCTTGACAGTTATTCTGAGAGACAACACAGCTGAATGAGTGAGGAGGCTCAGCAGAGCAGAGGACAAGGAAAGGACTTACGTGTTGAGGTACCGAGTTGTGATGCCATGGACCAGCTGCACGATGTGCCCGTGCCTGACAGGACGGGGTGGGTTACTCACCACCAGCTGCTGCCTAGTTGAGTGACACCCAAGAGGAAGTGGTTACATTCTTCTTTCTATATAATGCAGCCTTGTCATGACCAAACTGTGAGGTCAAGAAGCTGCAGGCAGGGACAGACACTAGGGCAGTAAGATGAGAAATTAAAGCAATCTATAGATCGTACCAGAATGGAAACAAAGCTCATCAAGGCAAAGGTGAGTTAAGGGCAGAATGACTCAGAGGATCAGTAATGGGATACTGACACCCCAGCTATTAGGTCAGTGATCTGAATCCAGGTCAGTCAGGAGCAAGTTCAGATTATTCCCACCACACAGCTGTTTGGTAGCTTCTGTGAAATGAGTAAGTGCTTCAGTGAGGTCTAACAGGAATTCTTACTATAACTGATATCACTTTTGGAAGAATTATAAGAGAGATCAATAGCTATCTATCTCCATCATGAAAACCAAACTCTCATCTTGCTTTTGGCATGCTTTGGCAAGGGGGAACACTACAGTTCACCTAACTGCTGTCTGTGCTTTACTGTTCTACAGAGCGACGTCACATCCTCCAAGGCTTTTAGGAGTCTTGAGTTTGAAGAATTTTAAGAAGATACTGGGTTTCTGTGGTTCTGGTAGAGTCCCTACTAGAAAGGTTTGCACTGTGGACAAACTTTCCCAACACAGATATAACTTATAATGGCACACAGTCCTTCTGGTACTCCTCTTTATACAGTTCCCAGAGCAACATAAGAAACCTACAAAAGCAACTTTTCGATCAGCATGAAATGATACCACACAAGGGCTTTTACTGGCAAAACTACAAGAACAAAGAGTCCTGCTCTCCACTGACAGTTACAATGGCAGAACACTTCAGCACGAACCTCTCAGGCACAGGCACCCACCTGGAATCCCTCCGGATGTGGCAGATTCTACAGCTCATCCCAGACTTAAAATACAAAGAAATACTCATTCTGCAAAAGTGATTTCTACGCTCTTCTGAGTCTCATTCAAGTTTGATAAAGCTCATCAAGGCACTCTAATTCCATAGCGTACACACTTCAAAAAGCAGAACTTTCCTTTCATGCAAAGCACCTGAAGAGTTCCCACCGGTCTCGTGAGTCTTTAAAGTTCCCCTTGGGCATAGCACAGCCCACGTCCTGGCAGGAGCAGTTCAGACAGAATTTCAGAGTCCTCAATAATGCTTTTACCATATTGAAAAGGACTGTGCAAAGAGCCACCCTCACAAACTCTGCAGCTGAAATTACTTGCTCAGGATCACACATGGCCTCTATGCCTATAAGCAGAGCATAGTTATGTCCAATCCAAACCAAGTCCTGGTTGGGTTTTGAAAGCATATAGAAGCTATGCTTACAGCAGCCTGGCATTTAAATCTCTTGCATACTCACATTCCAGGATCTTTGACAATCCACCAGTTGTTCACATCCTTGAAGGGATAGCAGGTCACCTGCTGTTGATGGGAACTACCTCGGCCATTCTCATACCTGTGCAGAAGGTTAAAAATACCCACAGATGTGTAACAGTGTATTTCTGTGCTCAACAGAGTCACAGCAATACAAACCAGCAGCAGATCACTGGCCCCATACCTACAGAGCACAGAGAATCTGTACATCTGCAGTGTGCTCTGAAGGATTAATGAGGAGATTGTGAGGACCCAAACTGCGGTATTTGGACTGGCAGGTGAAGAACCAGAGCATACGTTGAGCCTAACAATACAGACCCAACCTGATCCCTCACCTGATGGGATAAGTATTCGTGTGAGAATGGAGCCAACACTGCATGGGCTTGCCCAACACGTTGCGCAGAGTAATCTGAGAGCCGTAGGCCACCTCTAAGGGCTGACCCTGAGTGATTCGAGCCAGCCCACCCTGAGAAGTAGAATGATAGGATAAGTGGAAAGAAGAAGAAACAACCCAGAGGCTGTTTAAATTCTATTAAGAGTCATCTATCACTTTAACATAGCAGTATCTTAGCTCAATGCCTTCTCATTTGGTTGTATCTACAAAAATCAAGTCTTGCAGCACCATACTCAGCAGACAGTAAATACACCAATCCACGAAAGACTACAGGGTCTTAGGGAATATCCCTGAAGCCATGCTGTTCTAAAAGACAGACTAAGCACTCTTCTACAGAAAATCATGCCGTCATCCTGTAGTCTACAACATCATCACTGAAGAGTTCAGTACTGTATCTACTTCTGTGGAGTTTCCTGTAGGAAGGGGCAAATCTTCAGCTGAAGAGTGAATATATTGTTCCTGTTCACAAGGAAAAGCTTTTCATTCATTATTAGGATTTCAGTCATTATTGCTTCATCTTAAAGCAGTAGCAAAGTCATTAAATTACATAAAAGGAACAAATACACAAGATGAAAGGAACTAGATTGCACACCTTTCTTCTCATAGTGAACACAAGACAGATTTTCCCCACTTCTCCCCTAATAAATCAGTTTTATAACCACATTTCCTTTACCTCTAAGCTGGCTTGGAAAGCACTTGTCATAATCTGATCATGAGGCCCAGAGCGATACAGCAAAGTCAAGTGAACATAGAAGAAGGACAGGTACATTGCCATTGGGATGATGATGAGAGCCAGACCCCTAGCCAGAAAATGGCACATCAAAGAAACCTAGAAGAACACAGAGAAGTCATTGGTTTCATGCTCCAGATATTAAAAATATTAAAAATACCAGTGCACTTGGCTAGTTTTGTTTGTCTTTTTTAAGTTTCTCCAACCACCCTCATTCAGCTAAAATTTTGTGGGCAGCTGCATAACTTCCACCATGGATTTGAACTGGAGCCAGCAGGAGGTATGTGAAACAGTATAGGTTTTGAGTCACAAATCACCAAGACATGGAAAAGAGTGGAAAATCCAGTCACACACACATGATTATCTTAAATCTAACTCCATCTTCTCCAGCAACTAAGCTGGGAAATTGTTCTATGACATGAGGGTTTGCAGACTGTGACAAGGAATTTTAGTACAAAAACCAGCTACAGACGGCATTGTTATCTGTGGACTTGCAAGGCTCCGGGCTGGCTCCTGTACTGAAAAGTTACACATATTTTGCATGTTGTGCTACCTACATTGGACAAGTTCTGGTCTCCTATCATGTGCCAGAAGTGGAGTCCTGTGATGGCCAAGAGCAGCACATAGGTAAACAGGCCCATATATTTCACTCTGAGAAGAAAGTGCACAAAAAATGAATACAGTTAAAAACTACACAATTACCTAACACAAGACATACACATTCAAGCTTTCTCTTGAACATGATGCATTAAAGTCCAAGGACTTAGATCCATGACAAGTTTGGTACAACAACATAAATAAGCTTCAAGGCTTTGACATCAGAAGATATCATTTGTTTGCCAATCATATTAAATAACTGCAGTGACAGAGAACCTTCTTGACAACAAGGTGGCAGACCACAAAGCACAGAGTCCCTAAATTCAGACTTACTGAAGCTTGAGGTAACTAGGAGGGAGGGGTGAAAAGCAGATCCTAATTTATAACATAAAGCCATCCCTGAGAAAAGAGTTTTGTTCTTCCCAGGACAGTACCCTCTAATGCCTAGTATTGCCCACTGTAAATTGACATCCTCTCTATAAAAACAATCTAACTCATTAAAAAGTAATGGAGATGTCTGCCCAGAACAGCATCAAGAATCGGTCTTGAAAATCCAAAGCCCTGCTGATACCTCAGGTGGTAGGCAGGTAAGTCAGTTTGGTAAAACAAAGAAAGATGTCATCACTTACCCAATTGCACAAGAGCAAGCTACTCCAGTCAACAGAAGCCAAAACCACCAGCTCCCAGAGAAGGAACTTCAATAAAATGACAAAGGAAAGGATGTTATGGTGATATCTGGGCACCTTCTTAGGATTCTGAATTCAAGCAATTTAACTTGGAAAAAAAACCCCTGCAGGACTCTACTATTACTTATTCTACTCAGAGGCATCTCATTCTGAACCTCCCACGCCACCAACTCTCAGCCCTGACCTACAGAGTGTTGTTAAATATACTTCTCCGTATCCTGAAAAGCAAAACTGAATGCTACCTGGCTTCTGATACGACAGATAAAAGAAATGTATTAAATCACTTGCTGGGCTCAGTTTAAAGATAAATTTACTTTACAAAAGATTACTTTATCCTCTGCAAGGATCAGAAAACATGTGAAGTCACAAGAAAAGAGACAGAGATCTCTAAATCCAGTGCCTGTAAACAGTAACAAAGGAGCGTTAAGTGACCTGTTATCATCAGTGTTTCTGTGCACAGAAGGAAACCTTCCAATAAAAAGTCTGGGTGGGCAAAGGTGTGCTCCCGAGGGGTTTTGGTTTTATTGTAAAATAAAAAAGGCAGCCTTGCTACCAGTTAAAACAGTCTTTAACACTGCTCAGAAGATAGAACTTCTGGGTCAGCCATATGACAGGTCAATGCATTGGATTTTACAGACAGTTGAAGTGAGTTGCAGAACAGTGAAGTGACTTACAGAAAAAAAAAATATGGAGTCTGTGACAGAAAAAAAAAGTCACCACAGGAATATCCAAAAGGATAGGAGACAATCCAGCTTTACCTGTGTCTTTGCAAACTGTAGAACTTCAGGTAGGACAAAACTGCAAGTAGGATAAAAAAAATCAATATTGATTCCAGGAGCATGAACCTTGACTGAGTGATCAAAGAGTTCTCTGTTGGAAAAGAGACAGACAGAAAATCAGAGAAACTTATCTATAGGCAAGCGCTACCTCAGACAATCACATCATTATCCAACCGAAGGACCTGCCCCTTTAAGGACAGCCAATTCATTTGCAATCTTACTGGCTGTAATAGGGAGGTGTTGGGTTTAAAGAGACAAAAACCTTCCAGCAGGAGCAAAGTACATGGCTATAACTGTCTCCAAGGACAAAGAGGTGGGCAAGTTTTAAAGTCTGGCAGGAGGCAGATAAAGGTGCTGTGCTTGCCTACAAAGGCAAAGAAAATCAATGCTGGGAAATCCAGAGAGGTGTTTCTCAAGGCAAAGAGAGTCAAGGCAGTGACCCCAGCTGGCAATGAGCATGATGACAAATCTTCAAGAAAGGGAGCTTCAATGAGCTACTTTGTGCAGGATTCCCTGAGACAGAATCAGAGCAGTCAGTAGCTAGGAGAGGGGTCTTTTTACAGACTGCTAAAGGGCTGCCAAGAGGCTCCTTCACCTTCAGACAGCTGCCAGCAGATCCTCAGAGTAAAAAACCTCTGAGTTATACACACCAGAACAGTGTTAAGTCATGGTGCTAAGGACACAGACTGATTTGCTGCAGTTTGGAGGTGAAGAAATTTGATGAGCTCTGACTGTAAGCAGGGTCATCCTGCTGTTAAAAACCAGTATGTTGTAACTCGTGCTGTAAACCTCTGAGGAAGAGAGAACAGGCCTCCTTGGATGCAAGAAACATGGTTTTCTGCGAGGCTGTTGAGGCTGCCCACTTTGCTTAATAATGAAATGAAATTGTATAAAGCCTCAGCCTAGAACGGCAGCCTGCTGCAGAGCTGTAAGGGTGGAGGGGACCAGAGAGGCTCAGCAGAGGCTGATACAGGCCAGGGCTGAAAGTGGTCTCTGAGGTGTTGATAGCATTCTGTGGGGAGATGCTACTCCAGCCTTTTATGCACCCTAAAAACTCAAAAGGTTAAAAGGGACCCTTCTCCCCTTGTATGAAGAATGGGGCCCAGGGGAATAATCTTACCTAAGAGAATGAGAAGAGCAGCTCCAAGTGCAGCACAGTGGGAGAACTGCAGTTCTACCAAAATCTGGTATGCTAAAGGCACACAGAGAGCACCAGCCAGTGCTGGCAGGAGTCGCAAGGACCAGACGGGAACGTTCATGCTATATTCTGAAATAGGAGACAACAGTGATACACAAATTTGGAAACTATTAATTGCAGAGAAGACAGATCAATACAGAACTCCTTACAACTACAAGTTGTTGAATCTAACCCCTACTCTTATTAATTTATTGTTCCTCTTGTACTGCTTAAACAGTTCTAACTGATTTAAAAGATCTGTGCTATGGAGTCATAGTGCCTTAAACTTCTGTTAGAGACCTGCAGAAGACTTATTTAAGAGGAGAAGTGAAGGTGTCAGACAAAGCCTTATTTCCACTAGTCAGGCAAAAGGAATCTGTCAGCTGCTGAAATACTGCTTATTTTCTCAAAGGAATGAGACAGTTAAAATCAGCTCTTACCAGCTCCAATCCTGTTCCATAAGAAGTTTCCATCAAATCCTCCTAAGTAACCTACAACATAAGCAACAATTCAGAATTTCCAGTCTCAAAACAAGTATAAAAACTGGTGCTAAACTGGTCCTGGAACCATTTCCCAAACACACAGTTTTTCCATGCATCAAACCCCTCTTTTTCAAAAGGGTCTTCTTTCATACTGTTTTGCCCACAGCAGTGCTTGATAAAGTACAGAGGCATGAAGAATATAAATTAGGAGCAACGTATTGTCAGTGACAAAGTTACGTGTATCTCTTCTTCCCATACAGACACTTTTATGTGGTGCATATCTCAGCTACAGAAAGGAATTCAGACCTGAAAGTCTGCTTGTTGCCTACTATTTCTAGCCACTACCAGTTCTCATCTTACGTTTCTCTTCATCCAAAAGACTGGATAACGATGAGGTAATGGATGCATGGCTCCAACACTTCCCCAGTACTCAGGCAATAGTCCCCTAACAACACTAAATAAGGGAAATTCTAATTCTCTCTGCATCAGAATCTCTCAGCTGCCTTGTGCTTTTCCCCAGTAACAGGATCGGACAACTCATTTCTAACCAGCACTTCTCTCTTCCACAGCAACAAGCAATAGACACGTCCCAATTTCAGGAGATGCCCTACCTCCCAAAGCTAGCAGCATATGGCCAAAAGGTGGGCCGCTGTCATCCACGAAGAAGATCCTCTTCATGTAGAGTGAAACAAATTGGCCGTAATAAACTTCATCAAAACTGAAATACAGGAGGCAGAAATATGTCAAATCTAACTGGAAGTATCCTGCAGGCTACAGAGATACTAAGAAAGGAAACACTGATTTGTTGGCAGAAAGCTAAGGATACAGTGAAGCACAGTGGCTTTGCTCCTTTACCTTCCCCTCGGGAGTTTGTTAGGAAAACACTATCAATGTATTTAGAGGCTGACATCAGGCAAGCTTTCCTCTTCTGCTCCTGCATTCTGTGTCACAAATGTTTAAAAAACAAAAGTCTGTGTCATTCAAGTAGAAAATAAACTTCTACTCACACTACAGCCCGTGGATAGGAAAGCCCCCAAAGACGGCTTATTAATCCCATTACAGTCAATGCCACGAGGTTCGTGTTTATCTCTGCAGTAACCACAACTGGCTTCTTCAGAAATCCCAACATCCTGTCAAAGGTCTGTCCAAACCTCCAAGAGCAAGCAGAGAAGAGCAGCAGTCACCCTTCCGCTCAAAGCTAGGTGAAGATCATCTGACAGAAAGCATGCACCACTACTGTCTGCTACTAGCAGCTCATGGTAATTCGTATTCCAAAGTTGTCTTGTTTTCTGTATTTATGTGGGTTTTGCTGTACCTACAGTAGTAACTGTAGAAACAAAGTTACTAAACACACTTAACTTTTCATCTGCCCTGCTTCTACATAGGTATGATCCTCTGTCATGGTTAATAAGCTAGAAACTTTGTTTATTCTTACACTGGTTCTGCAGAAACACAACCGGTCAATTCAAGCTTATATTCCACTTTGCACTAAGTAAACCTCTCAGCTCAAACTCCGATGCTAGTGACAGGCAAACCACATGCTCAGGCACGAGGCTGCTCAGGTAGCTTTAAAAGAGCTACTTCCTTGCAAACTGAGTGTATTTCTTAGGGGGGGCTGGAGGCAGAAACCGTAAACATCCTCTGTCTTAAAAAGCTAGCTACTGGAGCACGGGTGTAGGTGCTGTAGGGCTCTAGCGCAGCCTAGGGGAGAGCGCTGCAGAAAAGGATGACTAAAATATTTACTCCTGTAGACAGAAATGCTAAAAAGTTAGGTCAGAAAATAGCAGGGAATCAGTGTTCCATCTCCTCACCTCAATACAACTGAAAGTTACTGGAATAAACCCATCCGCATGGTTTTGATCAGGGGAGAACAAAGCAAGATGCAAGCGCATCACCACCATCGAGTGCAGTGCCGCCGTCCTCGTTTCTCACTACCAACAAAACACAGGCACCGCACGGAACGGAGTTTTTCAGAAGCCCCCTTGCACCGCCGTGCTCTCCACCGGCACTGGGGACACTGCGCTGCGGCCCCAGCTGCCCGACCCGGGACGGACCATCACCTCGCAGGCCCTGGGACCCCAACGAGGACCCCGCTGCTCCCCACAGCACAGGCAGGCCTTGAGCCCTGGGGCAGGAGCTCAGCACCACCTCCCCCGCCATTAATACCAGGCTTTGCATCCCCTTCTGCAAGACTTACACGGAGGCAGTAACCACTGACCTCCCCACCAGGCCTTGTCCCCGCTTTTTGAGCTCTGTGGGGGGGCAGTGGGACCACCGAGCCCACACTCAGGCCTCACCCCTGAGGCTCACAGGGTGAGCAGCGCCCACCAGCCGCCCCGTACCCCGCCCTGAGCGTTTTTGGGGAGCGGTACAGGACCACTAACTTGCCGCCAGACCTCCCCCCCCACTTGCTCCTCGAGGGTTATGGCGGCAGTGGGGCCACCAGGCACCCCCCCCCCTCCGGGCCTCGCACCCCACCCGAAGCCTCGGCGGGGGGGCTGCGGCGGCCCTAACCCTGCAACAGGACTCGCCTCACCCCGCTCTGAGCCTTTTGGGAAGTGAAGGGGGACGTGGGAGGCCGCGGGACCGGGACCCCCCCCCTCAGGAGACAGCAGCCCCCGCCCCCGCTCACGCCACCGCGCCCCGGGGGGGGCGGGATCCCCCAGCACGCAGCGCCGGATGTGACGTCAGGGGCACGCAGCGCCAGGAGGGCGGGGAAGAGGAGGAGCCTCCGCCGTGTTGCTACGGCAACGCCCGCGGCCCGCTCCGCCATGGCGGCGCTGAGGGGAAGCTCCCCCATCGCCCGACACCTGCCCCCCCCCCCCCCCCGGAACAGGAGCACCCCAAAAGCTGCGTCCCTGCCCTAGCACTGCCAGCCCCGTCGCTGCTATGTCCACCCCCATCCTAGGAAAAAAAAAAAAAAACAAAAAAACCCAAAAACATACAGAGGCAAGTCTTTAACTAAAAGAACCAGACAAGGGACTGGGGAATTTGAGAAAAGCATAATCTGCTTTATTTTTTTAATTTTTTTTTATTTAAATAAGGAGAATTCTTTCATATGGAAAGAGCTAATACAATCACATATTTGAAAGGAGAAACAATAGGTACTGAAACGAGGAAAAAGGGCAATAAAGAGTATGCCGCAACTGGCCTGGTGATTCCGTGATTCGAGTTCCGGTCCAAGTAAAAGTTTCCAAAAAATATAAACAGGTTGCACGTTACACAATTATCCATCGTCTGCCCTTTCAAATATCTGGTCTACATGAAAAGACAAAGAGAGGAAAGGCCAAAAAAAATTTACTATACAGGTCATGAGGTTAGAAGCTTTAAAGGAGTACAATATCCCCTTGAGAAACAACAAATGCAATTTATACAGAACCAGAGAAAGGATTCCAGCTAAGGACAACGCCTCGAGACATGCTAAAACGTGAGCGCCTCACTGCTGCTGCTGTGATTCCCCGGGGAACGGTCAAGGTTGTGGCTGCAGGCATCTTGAGGAGCCAGGATGAGCCATTAAACCCAAGGGTTTTTTCCTATGGCCACTAGGAAAATCTGGTGGTCTTTGGATTAAAATAAACAACAAAAAATAGTAGTTGGACTGCTGCTGTCTCTTCAGGCAGCAGTTCCACTGCTTCAGCAAAATACACCTTTTCTGTCGCTGGGCCACAACTAAGTATCCTGATGCCTGTTTGTTGTAAATTAATTCTTATTCACAAATGCATCTTTCTTACAAGGAAACTGGGCTGCTGTACACCAAAAATAACCTGCGCTACAAGGAATTAACCTGTGCTTAACCAGCCAGAAGCAAAACAGAAGGTTAACAAAATGCAACAGAACAAGATCTTGGCATGCAGTGGTGCTTGCTTGAAAGTGAATATAGTAGCCTGCCAAAAGGTGAGACATAGCAGAAATGCTAGGCTCATTTTCTAATATATATCCATAAATACACAGGAACCACAGGGCAGCTTGTAGCTTTGCAGCATTCTTGCAAGGAAACTGTTAAATGGAGTGCCTCTGCATGAACACAAACACGTATGGGAGTTCAATGGGCTGCAAACACATTCAGAGTTACTGACGACTGTACAGCTGTCACATGGCAGAGCCAGGAGCGAATTATGGAAGATCAACAACAATACCTGTTTCACTAGTGACTGTGCTGCTTCCACTTGTCATTTAAAAATATACTGGAGTGCCTTTTTTTTTTTTTTCCCTTCTCTTCCTTTTTTTCTTCCCTAACTTCAATTTTTTTTTTTTCTTTTTTAATTGAGAGCTAAAAGCAGGCTAAACTGGAGAGGAAAGCAGCACTGAATGTAGCTGCTAGGCCATGAATCATTGCGTATAAGAGAACCGATTACACAAATGCCTCAGACCTTCAGCTGAACAAAAAGCAGCAAAGTCAGCCTCTGAATATTTCTGCTTTACCCATTGTTGCTGAAAATATGGATTCCACCTCTCCCTCCCACTGCACACTGCACCTTTCCTAGCAGAAGGGGCCTGCAATTTGGTAGCTGATTTCCAGTCAAAGCAAAAGCAACCTGCAACGGAATAAATCATTAGGGTCCAATCCTTCAGCAGTGGAGATTGCAAGCAGGAGTATCCCCGTATAAACCATATCGACATTCCATACATCTCCATTCTCCTCTTCCCCAAGCTGAATTTCTATCAGCATACCAGCACCCTTGGCATTTCTGCATCTTGAGGATCATAGGCTTTCCTTTTGATTCCAGAGCACCACAAACTTCACTAACCTTGTACTAGCTTTAAACAAACAAACAAAAATATATGCCAGAGAAGGATATTGCACCATAGAAATTTGGGCTCTAAAACTGCTTTCCGTCACACAAAACTCCATTAAGTGAAAGAGAGTCTTGCTTACTGCAGCTGACAGTCACACAAAGGTGAGGAATGGAATGAAGCTCACATGCATTTCTTGGCCTTTCCTGCACAGAATAATTCAGACATAATATATAAATAGAGCAGTGAAACAATTACTTTTTCACCTAGACCTACAACATCAAATACGTATAAATAAATTCTAGTGTTTTATTCTGTTGGGGGAAGGAATGGAGGGGTTAAAAGAGAAAGAAGGGTGACCTTTTTCAACAGGAAGTATTGTAGTTCTGATGGCATTTACACCAGAGGGACTGCAATAGCTTGTATCTAGCAATAACCCAGTTTCTCCAACACATTTGACCATTTTTGAAGTCATACAGGTGGGAGGAAAGAGGTTAGTGTCTTTGTAAAGCTTAAGTAGTGTGTCTAGGGTAGGAAAGAGATGAGAAGAGGGGGGCTCAGATAAGTCTCTTTAGACATTACAGTTAAGATTCTGGGCTGATATTAGCTAGGGCCAGCTGGGCAGAAGGATAATAAGGAAGGAAAAAACAGACAATTCTGTTGTTCATGATATTCCAAGGAAGAAAATAGAAAGGGAGGTGGGATGACTCACTGGTGGAGCAATCTTTGGAAAATGTTGGGAGCAGGACTAGCAGATGAGGATGCAGGTCTGGGAGACGTCTGAAGGCTGGGGAAATATCTGTCGCTAAATCTCAAACCCTGTACTTTAAGAAGGATGCTAGAGAGATGCTGGCACACTCTGCTCTGAAGTTAAAAATCCATAAAACATGAAGAAAAAAAAAAAAGCTTTTATTTTTCTTAAAGTACCATCCTATCCCTTTCTCTTTGGGTTCTCTGCCATGGTCAATGGGGACACCTGTGGAGAGGGGACATTACTATGTCTAAGTTAGTTTAGGTTTCTAAGTTCTTTAAAGCTACTGTATAAAATTCTTATTTATACCTAGCTTAAAACTTCAAATGCATCCCTAGAAAGTTATGAAGTATCTTTCCTAGAAAGGGGGAAAAAAGCAAACAAAGAAACAAGAACACCTTTCAGATCCCTTCCCAAATACATTCTTTGTTCAAAATTATCTTCTTTGGAACCACCAACAAATGACTTGCTGCCACCTAGCAGAGGCAGATGGCACAGCCAGTTAGCAAGCTATCATCTACTGCAGAAATGAAGTTTTCTTTCCCTCACTTCAAAGTGACCAGCCTACTTTACATTTTGAAAGAGCTAAACAACACAAACCAAGTTAGCTGAAAGCAGTTGAGTTTACTTAAGACTACCATCAGCTGAAGGACTCCAAGCACTTTCAGGAGCTTTTAAGTCCATCCTAAAAATCTACATACACACGCACACACACACGCACGCACACACATAAACCAAAACCAAACAACCAAAGAACTAAAACCCAACCCCCTCCCACTGGGACCTTCCTTTGATGGATCATCAAATACTGGTGAGAAAGTATGAGGTGACAATACTGCATACATACTATATGCAACTGCATCAAAAGTAAAGAACCCTTTGCTATTCATCTGGGGAAGGAAAGTAAAAGGACGATTCCAAACTGCCTCTGCAACCATGCGCTTCCAACGTAAAAAAGGAGGTTCCAGGTGTGCTAAAATGGCTGCCTTGCAGAGGGGCTCCCTTACCGATGTGTTTCTATGCAAATTTTACAAAAGGCCATGAGTTAGAGGAACAGAAAGCAAGAACTAGGGAAAAAGAGAAGAGCAAAGCTTAGGAGAGCAGCCCCAAGGGATGAACACAATATAGAACAAGTCTCGGGAGACATGAAGAAGTAGAGTGGCCAAGGTAGGGAGCGTAAGAGAGAGCATCACAACTACAAAAAGTAGTCCATACAGACCCGTTGGCTCTAGCCAACTCTTCTGACCCATGTGCGGTGAGATTTTTTTCTAAACAGATTTTACACTTTGTAAATCTATGATTTACATTTTGTTGTGTGTTTGGCAGTCACTAAAAAATCCCAAACCCACAAAAAAATCAAAACAACTAGATCCAGATGAGCTTGCAACAGAAATTTGGTGTTTTTTTCCTTAAAACGAAAATGCCACATTTTGTTGTGCACAAGGCACCCCAAAGCTACAATTAAAGTGGTGCAAGTTTCAAGATTAATGCACTGATCTACCATATACTTTTAGTACACATTTACTTCTAACGCAAGCACTGCTTCTAGCTTAAAACAAAAATACTGAAAAATTAATGAATGCCATAACCGTCCTGGGTTTTTTTTAATCAAATAATCTGAAAGGCTAAATCATCTGGGGAATATATACCCAAACAAACTCAATTTAGAAGAGTCATGATTCTCAACATAGCACAGAACCATATATAAAACTAAGCAGAGTTCTGTCAGAACATAATTTTAGCTGAAGGGAATTCTTTTCTGGAGGGAAAGAGGAAAGCAGAAAGAAGCGGGGGAAAAATGAGAGAACATATAAAAGTTCTGCTATAAACAAAGATATAGCTTTTCTGTAAAAACCTCAGCTGCCTTTAAAATGAAAAACCTCAAACTAAGCCCTCTCCCTCAGTTGCCACTCTGCTGAGACAGAAGTAGGGAAGGAGAAGGATGGGCTTTGCCAAGTGAGCAATCACAGCTACCTGTGGATGGGGCATGGGGGGGCGGGGAAAAAAAAATAAAAATAAATGGCTCAAGCCACTTAAAAGTCACATGGTTGGTTTGTTTTAAAGCAAGCAGGTCAATGTCATATCCACTGTTTCAAACTGCTTTGTTGGGAGAGGGGCTTGGATGATGTTGCTGTAGTCAGTCAATGTGGGGCAGGGAGTAGATCTGGTGAGATTTTCAGGAGATCCAGTGGGGTCCAGTCTAAGCTGCAGGGCCTCTCAGGCAGCACGACCAGCTGGGCATCAGAGGTGCTCCTAGGCCTTGCTTTCCTCCACTTTGACTGCCTGAGGTTTGATCGCTCCTGTGCGCACTGGCTTCATCTGGTTTGTGGAGGTTGTTTCTTGCAGCTTTACTGCTCCCAGATTGGCTTTATTTTCATCCACCCGCTGCTTTGCCTTTTGACATACAAAAAACAAAGCATTAGCTAGCACAGAGACCTCTAGGCAGATATAAAACTAAACTGTGACCACCCTTTATGCAAGACACCAAATTTGCTCCCAAAATCAGGTATTTCTTCTATTCTGTCAGGCTTTGCTGTCCTACAACACCTGACATGTAAGGATCTTGAAGTGTCTCACATGTCTGGCAATGCAAATAACCCATAAAAACTCAACCACAACATGGACACTGTAAAACAGATAATCCTCTAATTTCTCCTGACTTTCAAATCACACAGCATTACCCTTGGACTCAGTGTAACACCCACCTACCCACTCTCCCACTCTTTCACAATAACAGTTCCCACATACAGCTTCAGTACACAGGCCTTTCTGCCACTCAGCTTAAGTCGAAGGCACAGGCATGACAGTACAGAGTTGGGTCAAAGTACTGATGTACACTACCTGTTGTACATAGTGTCCTTGCACAGAGCCCATACTAACTGCTGGTCCAGACGGCTTCCCGCTTGGGCTGGCAGAGCTAGGCCTGGAAATCGAAGAGTCGACAACATTCATGGAGTAAATTCTACAATGGAATGAGAACCTTATTCATGTGTGAAAGAAAAAAGACAGCAGAAAGCAGCAGTAGACAGGACATGAGTCTGCTGTGCAGATCAGTGAGCTTCCCAGCCCAAAAGACAACACGTGGATTGGTTAGGAGGAAAAAAAAAAAGTAACTGCATGTCCCAAAAGGCTCGTTGACTTGAAGGTTTGGTACATCTAGACATAAGCACCTCTCATCTTGAGAGGACCATGCTGGAAAACAAAACGTTTATTGAATGATCCTCAAATTTTCCACATTATAACAAGGAATACATAGAAGTACAGTACACACCAATTCCAATTTGTCTTTAAGACTCAGTAAACAAATAACTTTATGCACTTCCCTCCAGCACAAAGGGCCAAGTCAGATACACACTGGACCACACACGGAAATGAAAGCCATGATCATGCATTTAGATACAAGTATTTGGACTATAGTAAGCACATTCTACATGTGAAAACCCAAGCGAATCTTGTACAGGGAGGATGTATGTAGCATGTCACTGCAAATGTGGAACACTACTTCCTCCCCATTCTGACTACAGAGGCTAAATTCTGTAAACATTTTACTTACCTGTATGTATGTGGTGATGGTACAGACCCTCCAGAGGACATATTCTGTTTACCATCGGGGAAATGAAACCCTTTCATTTCCATCTGGGAGGACTACAGAGGAAAACGAGTGAGAGAGTATCATCTTTGCATTCACAAATGACTCATTACTTCATATAACACTTAAGCCAAATCTTTGCCCTTCTACCCATTGTGCCCATTAAAAGAAAACATTTTTCAGGTGAAGAAACTGAGGCTTGAAAGTGAAATAATCCGCTTGTATTAAACCAACAAGCCAGCAGCACAAGCAAATACAGAACCTGGAAGTTAACTGCTATGCTCTCTCTCCCCTATAATAGACAAACTTATGATACGAATCCATCAAACCAGACATGACATTAATATACCTACTCAAATGGACAAGCTTCACAACAGTGTGAATTATCTGGGCAGTATTCCAACTGTGTCTGGAGCTCACCACCCCTCAAGCACTCTGGGGAAACCTGTGTAAACATGTAATAAAACTGGAGACTCCAAACTGGATCAAGGCAGGATGTGGCTCCCTGGAAACAGAATGATGACCAACAGCAAAACCTGAAAAACTGCTGGCCTGCGCTTTGGAGATGAGGGGAAAAGGACTCCTTCATTTTAACACCAATCCTTAGCTTTGATATTTAAGGATCCTGACCAAGCCAGTTTCCCATTTAACGAGCATGATCAAGGAGTGAAACTTCAATGCAGGAAGGGTTAATGAATGCCAAGATGAGCACACATGAGTTAATCCTTACCTCCCTGCTGGTAGCAAGAACGGAAGGCTGGGATCCAGGAGGGAGGATTCTTCTGGGAGCTCCTACAGGCAGGTTTTGCCCCTGAGGAAGCTGGATGGACTGTGGTAGAATCAGGGGCTGCTGGCCAGAGCCATAGCGGGGCAGAGGAAGCTGGGAGCCAGGCACAGGCATTGTTAGCTGTGTGATAAGGACATGTAGTTAACTTAATGGTGGTACAGTCTTGTGTTTGACACGCTGTCTCCTTATTACCCTGAAAGCACAGCACTGCTAAAAGGAAGCTCACAAACGGCGCAGTCTAGCACAGAAAAATGCTAGTCAATGTAACAGAGGGACTTCCACACTGAAATACATGTTCTTGTAGTGTTGCCAACACCCTATTAGCCAGGCTTTTAACATGCTATTGATTTAGCATAACTGCACTCACACAGCTTTCCTCCTTGCCTAGAACCTTCACCCAGCTTTTGAGTCTCTCTCATGGTTACTGCATGGGTGTATTTTCTCTTGATATGATGGCAGTGTTAGATAGCTCAGTGTCAGGTGTTTTGTTTGCAGCTTTGAAGAGCGAACCAGAAAGTCTGCTACAATTGCATGCCAAAACATTTGGAGGACTGGACCTCTAGAGAAAGTGATGGCGACCCCAGTTCATGCTCTGCAGTGAGCTTCAAACTGATGATGGTAATGAGTAAGAGTAATATTTTAAAAGTGAAGCTCAGGACTCAAGAACCTCTTGTTCCCTCTGATTCATCTTATGGTTCTCACAACTGATGGCTTTGGGAGGTCCTATGACAATACTTTGTAATAAATAAATAAATAATAATTTAAAAATCTAAGGCTGGCAAAAGAGACCAAGTTACTAGTTTATGATGGATGAAGCATTTATTCAAGTATTTAGTTGGCCAGTATTCTCTGTATTTTCCTCAGCTAAGTCACTTTCAGGATTAACTCTTTATGTCAGTCACAACAAAAGTACTTCTTTAAACAAAAAATGAATCTTAGCATGTTGCACAAAATAAAAGATGAGTTTAATGACAGTATCAAACTTCTCCGGAGAACCAGAACACGTGTCCACAGATACAGCTGTGCTCACAATTGGATTCAGTAACTATATCTGAACCACACTTTACAAAAACATTTTCACAGGATGAAATTCTTGTTAAGATGTTGCCAAACAGACCAGCAGAAGTTGTGTATGAGACCCGGATAATAAATGAATTGAGAAAATAGATGAGCTTTTAATAAAAGGTCCTAATTATCCTGGAAGCTGAGTTAAATCTGGAGACGATTGAGATCTGGCTCTCAGAAAAGGTACTTTTAGGGCAATTATTGCATCATGGCCTCCTATGCATGAAGCACTGCAAGGTTTGATCTACGTGAAACATCTATATTGAGGGTGAGAACTTCCAAGTTACAACATGACACCTCAGCAGGGGCAGACAAGTAATTAGCAAGAATCTCATTAAATATGGTGCACTGCATGTTTGAAACAGTGGTTCACAGAACAGAGTCTCTCAGGGAAATCTTCTGCCTCTTTACAAAAAGCTTACTACACATAAACACATGACTCAGCACAAATACTAGTTTCAACCTAGTCTCAGAAACAAGTGGTTATGAAAAAGCCTGTAGAAGGGAGTGGCTTACAAGCCCTGCTCCTAACCTGCGTAAGCTGAGAGTCCATCATCTGGGAGGCTCCCATACCAGCCGCCTGGTTTATCTGGCCTTCATAGACCAGTGTCTGGCTTCCATTCATGGGCTGATAGGGGGACCCAGACTGGGTTTTCACCACCTCCAAGGGCTGCATGCCTGGGAACGCGGAATATGGAGGCTTCAGAGCAGTGCCTCCTGTCAGGACCATGGTGCTGGGCTGAGACAGACTGGGGTGCATATACACCTGAGACCTGGAGAAGAGAAATATGCTCAAGTCATTACACAGAAAAATCTTTGGAGACTATACACACACACACACCCCCACTGCCAAACCGTATCTGGCCTGCCATCGGCAAGCAGTTCTCAGACTTCACTGAACTGACAGCTTAGAAATAAGGTGTGATGCCAGTTTGCATTTTAGTTACAGGGTTTTTTTTACTTCCACTTGTAAGCCCTTACAACCATGTCCTTGCATTGCAGGAATATTCAACAGAATGACACTGTGTCCTATCCAAAGTTTACATTTCAATATCCTGCATAATAAACTCCGGATTAGTAGTAAGGGAGGATTCAGGTTACCAGAAGTCTGCAGCAGTTTTGCAAAGCAGAAAAGAATCAGAAGTTAAAGATTCAAACAGCTGTAGCAAAAAAAGCTTTTTTTAAAACCTCAGTGTCTAGGTTTTTGAAGCCTTGAAGGACTATTCTGATCATTTACTCTCATCCCATGCAGGAAAGGGGCTACAGGGAATGATTCCCACAGCCAGCTCAACTTCGAAGTGGATGTCTCAGTCCTTCAATTCTGTTACATTTGCCTTCCATTTTCTAATTTGAATCTCACAATTTCTTCTCCAACAAACTGCAAGCGTTTATGCTGTTCTTGTCAGTTTGTATCTAACAAAAACAGTTACTTGATTTTGCTATCCAGGTACTCAGCTCTGATCAAACTGTCTCTTTGTCTTCGCTCTAGTAGTAAACCAAATACAGTAAGCTCTAAGTTCTGGGTTTCTTACTATTAAGTATGCTTGCCAGCCCACAAACCTCCTCTTTCTGCATCTTTCCCAAGATTTGCCTCCCCCTTTGAGAGGGCAGGCAGTACAACTCAATAACTTTGCAAGGATGGTCTTTGCCATTGTCCTACAAAGAAACATGCTACAGAGAGCCTTATGTGCCTCAATATCCCTGGTCTCCACCCCAACAGTATTACTAGGGAAAGGAAATAGCACTTCAACAGAGAGGTAAGAGAAGATGACTGTGGAGTATCTGATCAACGTACATAGCTATCAAGAAAACACTAGATCAAGCCACAAAGAAATGAAAAATGGGAAGCAGTTACCTGAAGGGCTGTATGGAGCTGTACATCTCCTGGGACTGGGAAACAGGCAGACCACCTCTCAGCCCAAGCTGAGCTTGAGCCTGTAAGGATGTGTGGAGGGAAATGGGAATCTGTTGAGCAGCAGCAGCCTGCAGAAGAAATTAAGATGACTGAGAGGTACAAGAGGAGCCAGAAACTCTCCCAGACAAAAATCCATCAGTTTCCTCCATGAGTCAATCTGCCATGACCATTACCTACACTGTGCCTTCACCCAGCCCTTGTATCATTCCACAAAACAGCAGCACACTGTCAGGGGAAGATACTGCACAGGCACCCAAGAGGGAAGACTGATGCCTGCAAGAAGCATTTGATGGACACGTGAGGTAACCAATGTGTTACACACACAGAACAGGCACTGATGATCCCAGTTCTCACTTGCATGCACTCTTACCTTGAAGGGGCTCTCCCCAACCATGTCAACACCCTGTTTACTACGGCTAGTGAAATTGCTCATTAACTGGCTGTGGAATTTACTGAAAGCCACTTTACCTCACACAGATGCCTCAGCATCTGCTTCAGTTAAGCCCCGTCTAAAGGCACTGATACAAAGGGGAAAGATTCCTCAATTCCCGCCCTTCAACTTCACTAACCTGTGACACCCACTGGGAAGCAGCAATCAAGGAACCTAAAGGGAGCCATATTTAAGCTTCTTTAGGCTATGAGACAAATAAATGACTCCTTGCTTCTTAAATGCCACCCTGAAGACTCCTTGAGAAACCTCTATCTAGTTGTATTTCTCCCTTACCTGTTGGTAGCTTTGCTGCTGAGGTATCGTCTGAGGGACCAGGCGGGGCTGACTTGCAAACACATGGCCATCCAGATACAGCGGTGGAATATGGTTACCTAATATCAGAGAAGGCAGGCTGTAAATTCAAGGTACAGTGGAGATACAGGCACAGTACACCATAGACATCTGCAGGTCAAGACTATTTTCTACCTCTCACCAACCAGCTCAGCAAGTTAACACAAAGTACCCATTCAGAAGAGCCTGTAAAGCTCATAAGTCCACATATCAAAGCCAGCACCCTACTGACAGTAGCAGGCTTGCTGAGAATTAATCATACCTTTCTGCAAGAGGCTAAATGTAAACCCATGGTTCCCACCTCCATAAAAAAGCCAGAGACACTAACAGTTCAGGAACTGGTTAACTGCACTCCAAACTGCTCCTAAATGACAGAAACCTGCTCTGCAATCATCTCACCTTTGCAGCTAGAAGGGACAGAAAGGGCAAACGTAGTGTTCAAGACCTTCACACAAGAGATCTAAAAGCCATATTCACCCCAAGGGTGGCACTAATTAGAAAGTGCTGTGCCACTCCCCTGAGTCTGTGCAGATCTGAATCATGAGACTTACAAACTAAATTAGGGTGGGTGGGGAAGGAAATCACCTGACTTGGAACAATCTGTTTTCCAAGTGGAAGCCAGTAAGTCACTACAGTGGTCCACTTGCTATGGCTTCTGCCCAGCATATTCCACTCCATTCTTGAAATGAAGAATGAGAAGGAAAGTGCATGCATGACAGGTCCTTTGGAACCCAGGAGTCGGAGAACCCAAGTACATTTCCTTTTTCCTGATGCTCTCTCTAATTATACACACTATCTAACATGACTGAGCTTAAGCTTTTCCTCTAACTCAAGGACAGCAACACCTTCCCACCTCCCAGAGTTCTGCAAACTGTAAGCAAGTTGTTGTTATTATGTATAAAGATCAGAAGGTGCTCAGAACCTGTGACTTAAATAGCAAAATGAGCAGAAGAATGGTTGATATTGATACTGGAACTGTTGGAAGTCTCTCAGCCATAGGTTTCTTCCCTTCTATTCTATAGAGCACACAGCGAAGGCTAAGCAGGAGCTATTGAGACAACACAGATTTGCCGCTACACAGAGAAAGTCAGCCTTGTGCTAAGTTTATACCAGTCACATCCAAGTAGCATTCTTCAAAGTAAGGAAACAGTCCCTCTTTCTATCTTTACCAAATTATTTTTAAGAATCTGTTAAATACCAGATAGCCAGTTACTTTACATGGAAACTCTTCTCACCATGCTCTTATCTACTAGAATCAGAGAATGATTCCTAGATACCAACCAGACAATGCAAATACTGCTGCAGTTTGCAGGTACCTGGAATAGATGCAGAAGGTGCTACGGACGCCACAGGCATAGGAGGCATAGAAACTCCACCAAAAGAGCTGTAGCTGACACCGTTGGAAGCTCCAACACTGGAAGGAGGCTGGATGCCTGAACCTGCGCCTCCCGGGGAGTTCTGTTCTGGTAAACTAGGAGAGTTTTCCCAAGCTTTACGAGCAGACTCCATCTACGGAAATGAAGGACAATAACTACAGACAGTTCAAATGGGGTGGACAATACTGAAGCCTAGTGTTGCTCATCTGTGACCTATTAGTTCAAATTCAGTCTAGTCTAGTCATAGTGGAAAGCTGACAGGTCTCAGGTCAAGGGGTTTCACACCATTTTCCAATGGACAAGCATCCTTCACAAACCATTGATCCTCCTCGGTATCTGCTGAGCTTTTTGGGTTTGGGGTGGTGGTTTTTGTTTTGGTTTATTTGGGGCTTTTCTGTTGTTGTTTGTATGTTTGTCTTTTCTTCTTTAAATCATCAGGCACCTAGGGACCCTGACCAGCTATCTTACTCAGCTACTGAAATAGCAGAAAAGCTCTGTTGCACTTGTTCTACAATTGGCGAGGACTTCAGCCTCCGTGACTGCTGAAACACGCGCCCTACCGCCCATGCTGAATAGCGTATATGCACAACTTTAAAGTAATGCCTAACAAAGTGCTCTGGGAAAGCTCTCTCCATCCTCACTATTCTCTCCATTTGAGACATGGTATCCACACCTAGGACAAACACACATGCCAGCTTGCTTACCTTAAGAGTAAGGTCTGCAGTGGGGAAGGACATTGGGTTCAGACCAATGCACCGCTGGAGGTGATGATCTCTTCGCAGAATGGGAATGGACTGCGTTAACCCTGCCTGAGGGGAGATTTGTCAATGGTGAATACTTTATGAACTCTTAGGAGAATGTCATGAGCTACCAAGGCTGACAGAGCCTCAGCTGGCAGCTCTAGTGACTACACCTCAAAGGATTCAATCCTCAGTGGTACTGCAGGAGTTAAGTACCACATTCAACCATGATCCATTCTGCTGTTGGAATAAATTACGTGCAGTGACACCCTCTATGTCAAGTTACACCAGCTTCCACTTAAACATCAATTTGATCCAGTAACTTCAATTTGCAGTAGAGTTCCCCCTCCTGTTCTGTATTTGGAATCTACCTAAATTTCAGACAAAACCTGTTTCTGAAAGAGCGCTTCTGAAAAGAAACACCCTTTAAGACAAACCTCCAAAATCAAACAGCCTACAAACTTGAAGACATTTCAAAGGAGTTTCTCACATTGCTGTCCGCAGCTAAGCTGCAAGCTGGGCTTTCAGTGTGCTCGCTCTTCCACATATAATAATGAAATACCCAGATGGCTGGAATAAGCTGGGAAACCTCCAAGAGGGCCTGACTAACAAGTAACAGTTCTCTGCCCTGCTGTGGTAGATGAGACCTGAGGAAGCTGGCAGGCTGGGCCTAAGAGCACCACTCTGCATCACGCCCATTGCCAGCACTCTTGTGTCTCAGGGGAGGGGACCGCTGATCTCAAAGATCTGCAATACCTCTTGCCTTACACAGGCACAATGATAATGGAGTTGCTAGCAATGCTCATTTTATCAAAGTACCTTGAAGGCACATATTTCCATTATGGATTTTAGTTACGTGTGCTGCTTAAGCATTAAGTGTGAAGTCAACTGCAAAGAAACATGCTTGCTCTCTATGGAAGCATCTGAGGTTTAACTAAGGAGTATCTCCAATGCATCAATGCCAAAACTCAAAAAAAAACAAACAAAAAACCAAAACCAAATAAAACGAAAAACACAACTTACATTACTGGCCAAAGCATCCTGCAATTTGGTGACAGGGTTAGCTGCGGTGCCAGAGGCAGAACCAGGTGGCAAGCTGAAATCAGAGTCCTGAAATAGCAAAACACACACAATTCAAATCCAGGTCCAAGGGCCACCCATCTGCTTCTCATGGTTAATGACTTTAGCCTGAATCATGACACTAGAAGCTAAAGATTGTCCTCCAGTAAGCCCTGCTGGAAGAGAACAAAAACACTTCTCAGCACTCAGCAGCAGGCAACCCCCAGAAGCACTCAAAGGCTTAGATGGCAATAATTTTGTCCCTCACCTCTGTTACCACCCCAGCTCGTCCTTGGGACAGTATTTCCAAGAGGATATTACATGTTTGCCAAGACATCTTGAGTACCTGGTTTGTGTCAGTAATGAAATCTAAGGCAAATCTACAGCTGGAAGCTTTCTCTAAATTATCCTTCTGCCTCAAACCACCTTTCATATCTCAACAAGCTCAAATCACCAAGAAGATAAAATTAAATTCAATCCTCACTTTAGGATTTACTCCAAATTCAATGGGTGGCACAGGAAGTACAGAATCCACGTGAATTTCCACCCCATTAACAGGGGGAATATTCCCTTCCAGCCGTTCCGTTCCCTCCGAACCCTTTCTGTTTTTCAGGGAGCGTTCGTTGCCGATTGGTCCAGGCTTGTGTTCCTTGTTCTGTCCTGAGCCTTGATCTGAATCCTTAACAGGAAAGCAGAGAGGCTGAGACACAAAGACTGAATAACCCAATCTCAAGCCTTAAAAATGCTATCAAGAACAACACAACCACTTCACAACGTCTCTCACTATGTGCTCTGGCTTGGCTGCAAATCCAGATTACCTTTTTATCAGATTGCTTCTGCACTTGCTCCTTCTGGCAGTCAGGCTTTGGGTCCACCAGGCCAGCCCCATTCATCTCCTCTGGTTTGAGGGTGCCATATGGAGAACTGCGCTGAGAGGAGGTAGCGGAGGATTCCCGAGACTCCGCGCTCAAGTCAATGCCACTATCCCCCTGGCTGCCTTTAAAACCCTGCTATGCAAAGCACGAAATGTGTTAAAAGCCCCAGACTCTGACCCAGCTCCACAAAGGAGGGAAAAAAAAAAATAAACCCAGAAAACAGCAAGACCATGTCCCCTTTTCAAATCACTTTCTTGGTTAACTGCAAAGGAGTTGGGTCTGACCTGCAGCATTCCTTGGCTGCTAATTCAGCTCTACACAACCCTGAGACAGGTTAACCAATGCACCAACCGGACCATGGCTTTAGAATAAGGAAAGTGTCCCACATAGCAACTAGGCTGAGATTGCCAAACTCATTTCACTTGTGACCCAAACCAGATTTGAACTCTGGTCTCCAGGAACCTCCTCTGCTCTCCCTGCATTAAGGCTACAGCTACACACTGCTCACAGGTGAGGCACACAAACATGACCTATGGGGTTCCACCATCCTTGACCACACTGTGTCCAGTTAGGAGCATAACCCTGGTATAGCTCTACCAGACAGTTACTCCAGATTTATACCCACACGTAACACCAAGCAGCACTTGGCCCTCTAGGTCAAGATTTGAGCAGCATCAAGCTCAAATTAGAGCTGCAAAGAGACAGTTTAAAAGTGCACAAGCAGAGCTGAGAGTCGCTAAGCACAGATGGAGCAATGAGAAGCATAAGCCACCTACGTTAATATTTTATACACAATACCTGAATGGCACATTAGGTGCCACTTACCTCAGTGGTGCTAGATTCAGTACCATTAAAGGTATTTACAGGCTTGCTCCAGGAATCACTGCCAGGAGACTGAACAGAAAGAGCTGGAAGAGAATGGAGGGCAGGGTTCAGCTGCTCGAAACACAAATGTGAGCACACCTTGTACAGCATGCGTATTACACCATTAACTTTCCATTTCTAGACCTAAGATAGGATATTTTCACCACCTCAGAAAGCCAGTGCTGTCCATTCAGCTGAGATGACAGAGCACAGAGAAGACAGTGTATGGAGAGCGAGGGTAGAGAATAGGGAATAGATTTCTGAGGGAACATGAAAACAACAGGGGGAAGAGCAAAGACAGAAACAAGGGAGGCACTAGCTATTCAGGGCTAGAGGATGACAAAACAAGAGGAAGGGAAAGTCAAAAAATGGCTGAAGTAGATCTAGCCCAACAGGCTAGAAAATGCTATGCAGGATCTTAGTGTTACAAGAAGATCCAAGAAATATATGAGGAGACTGACATGGGAGGAGGATGGTTGAACAGTACAGCTTTGGACAGATGTTACTCCAGATGTCTGCTAGCTGCCCTCCCACTTCCAGCACCAGACAAGAGAAGGCTGTCTCCTCTTAAGCATGGACACCCTGTCCTTTCTGCACACACCAAAGGATTTCCCAGTTGTGTGAACAGACAGACCCAAACTTACCTGGGCTGTTGCTCTCCCAGATCTCTGTGCCCAGGCTGTTTCCAGAAACTGTTACATCACTTTGCTCCAAGCACAAGCTGTTTTGCTTCTTGGCAAATCGAGGAGGAATGCGAGACTGAAGGACGCGGGCCTTAGCTGGTGCCTGGGAGAGAAAAGGCACAGGCCATAGACCTCTCACTGCACTAAAGCTAACACAGTCTGCTTCTGGCAAGTTCAAAGCCTGGAATTCTAAATGCTGCAATGTGAAAATCCCGACTCATGTAACAGAACCATATGAAGTAGTTCTGACTATATCCTCGCTTTTTTTTTTTTTTTTTTCCCCCCAAATGGATCCTGTGGCTACTGGGAGGTTCCCCCAGCCTAACAAGGCAGTGAAAAAAGCTGCCTTCAGCAGCATGAGATTTTTTTCTTTTGGGGAGGTGGGGGGATAGGATACAAAGAAAAGCAAAATTAAAACTACAACAGACATGCTACGCTTAATTCCTCACTTAAACTCCACTAAAGCAAGATCAATTAATAATTCCACAATACAGAGATGGCCCTTTCACAGAGCCAAGATCTGAATAGAAAGAGAAGCACATCTCTGCAACTGCAAGACCTTTCCCACTGCACATTCACATGTTGTTGTCAGCTTAATTTTAAAGATGTCAAGCAACTAGGCTTTTGTAACTTTGCTTGCAAGACTCTCTGAACCTACCACAAGCCATCCATGTCAGGAAGCATTTCCCATCAATGCTTTTCATTTGCATTTAGTCCTCCAGATTTCACTAAGTCTCCTCTCACATCAAAATATCCTCTTATCCCCCTAGAATCTGCAATCTTCCAGTACATGTAGACAAATGCCTCCCACCTGAACATTATGTAACTAAGCTATCCACACTGTAGTCTTAAGCCTCTTCTTGTAAATCAACTCCTTTACCCTATTATGAACACAAAATTGTCAAATCTTCTTCCAGTGTGTTAGTTTCTTTCTGGTCCAATGCCCAGTCACAAACACAACACCTCCTGTGAGGAAGCTACCACATCCTGCTCTAGCAACAGCACACTGTTGACACAGCAAGAGTAGAGATCCTCCACTGCACACTGCTGCCCAATATCCCACCAAATACAGCCAGCAACTGGCTTAGTAAGCCAAGTTGCTTTGGATGAGAATCACTTTAGAAAACCCTCCTTAACTCACAATAAACAATTCTGCTAAAAAACAAGAACAGTCAGAAATCTAACCATCCTTTTCAGATCAATAGCCCTCACCCATCAGAGCCAAAATATGTTTCTGGGGCTTAATACAGGATCTGTACTACCTCGGCCAACTGCATGTTGTTCTGCTCATCCAAACACTTTTTGGGGCCCTGTTCCTCTGCCTGTGGTCCAAACGGTGTATCAGGTTAAGCTTTTTTTGCCTCTTATTCCTCACCTGAGCAGCCTGTTCCTTCTTCCTTCGCTCCTCTTCCAGCAAACGACGCTGCTTTTTAGTAAGAACCTCAATGAAGCCTTCACCTGCCATAGAACCTACTTCATTCTCTTCTGCTGTGTTCGACACCCGATTATCAATGATGGTACCTGAACAAAGCATATACAAGGGTAAAAACAGTGCATGTGTGTATGCATTTAAAGCTTAATAATTGTAATAATTTAGAGTGCATACCAAGTAAGATTCATACTACAAGCAAACAAGTTCAGCCAGCAGCACTGCAGCTAAGCTTTGAGAACTAAGCCATGGTAACCTGTTGACATCTACCAGTCACTACCCTACAGGGTTTTGCTCTCCTCTGCCTCAAGGTGAGCACTCACCAGTTGGGAGAGCTTTGGAAATGTGATCCATGTGGTAACTCAGTTGAAACAAACCTCACACCTTTCCTAATATTAGAAAGGACAAAGCCAGCAGAAGTACTTTTGCAAACCCACCCATTACCTCTGGATATAAACCCTCAGTTCTGTCAACAGCAAAAAGGCAAATCATGGCCTAATGCCAATGGTTTCAGAGATCCTAATTTCTTGCCTCCCTGCCATCAACTCAGATGCGAATTCCCCACTCTGGATGCTCTTTCAACTTCCTTTGCACTACATAAGGCATTTTGGGCTTGAAATTTAACATCTTAGATGGAGATATGGAACTAACCTCCCTAAAACCAGACTTTATATAGAAGAAGCATTTGAGAGACTGTCAGATCTGGCTGAAAGTTTGGGTTTAAAATTTAAAACCATCTGTCTTCCATGTTTTCCCTATTCAGATACACTAGAAATTTTGTGTTTGTGTAAATAAATGGAAAAAAAATCTGACCCAATATTTAAAATTACACTGGATTGAATCAGTTTGGCTTGAAGTCAGCCACAATGTGTTATCCCTTTAAAGAAACAAATGAATTAAGACACTCACTTCCATAACTTAGTTCAAACTGTGACAAGGCCTCTCCCTTCTCACTTGCTCTTTGTGCAGTGGATTTGGACTCCTTCTCTGGCTTTTTACCTGGCCCCTCAGCACTCTCTGAGTTTGCGTGGGAGGCCCTATCCAAGCTGTAAATGGAGTGGCTGCTCCCACCACTGGTGTTGCCAAGGCCCGCTCCTTCTTCTGGAGACCTACAACGGAAGAAGGGAAGTGAATCAGATTTGTCACTAGAAGATGAGTAAAAGTAGCAGGAAAACACAGGGGCTATATTTTGTTTACCAGTTTTCTAATCACACTTCATTCTTCCCCAGCCTTTGCTCAACTGAAGCAGACGTTAAATTCCAAGCAGAGAGCCCCATTACAAGGATGTTACTGGGCAAGTGGGATGGAAATAAAACAGTATCTGTACTTATAAGTCAACCAATACACGGCCCCCACACAACAAAGCTAATACCCTAGCTTGTCACTATGAGAAGGGCTCTGTGCTTCTGTACAGTGTCTCCTACCTGCCTATGACACTGCACTAGTAGCTCCCCTGCTCCTCTCTGCCATTAACACACATTTCTTGGCAAGCATCAGGTGAGGGGAAGGGAGATGGGGAGACTCTGATGACACTGAGGAAAAAAAATAATTCCCATTTTGTTTCTCCCAGAATGTTTTTGCCCATCTGACCATCATCACACGTCATTCCTAAGCATTCAACTCACAAAAGAAGCATGCTTAAAGGAGAAGACAAGGAAAAAAAGTTTCTCCCTTCCCTTACTTTCCCTTTCTACCTGCATGCATCTTTCCAAACATCAGCTCTTCTCTCTCTTATTTCTATATAAACTACTATATATATATAGAGAGAGATATAAACTAGTTACTATATCCAGAAGTCAAGGGAGATGGGTCACAAGAGGACAAAAAAATTAAGAAGTTGCCTGTTTATCGGTGCTTTAAACCCAATACAATGCAACTGTACGTAACTTTTTTTCTCCTGTGGCTGTTAAAGGAAAAGAGTAACAGGAGAGCTGTCAAACTGGCCCAGGACCAAGGTCCACCTAACCCAGCATCCTGTCAATCATCAGATGTTTCACAAGACACTAGCAGAGAAATACTTAATCCCTACCGTTGGAATTGTCTTAAAATATCCTCAGGAGGAACTCCTCCCACCAGGCTAGGAACACACAGCACTGTTTGTCATTCATCACCAGTATCCACTAAGGTCTAAGAAAATATTTACTCAGGCAAAGCTAAGACTGGCAATGTCACACACTGTGCCAGAACCACACTACTGGGAATCCAGGTGCTCAACCTGCACAGCTCACAGCAACTTATCCCAGGAAAACCCAACCATCTCTTCTGTGCTCTGCTACACTCCACTGGGGACCCATGATAGGAGAGGAAGGACACAATAGGTTTGGAGTTAAGGATTAGGACTTCCTTCATTATCCTTCATGCCTCTAGCAGGAGGCAGTCCAGACTGGTGGGCTCTCTTGGCCTGAAACTAAGGTAAAGAAGAACAGCAAATGTCATGCCCACAGTGTCTCAGCAGCTTCCACAAACCTAGATTCCCAGCATAGAAGCAAAGGTATCAACCAGTTATAAAACAGACAATGATGAAACCCTTGGTTGTCGTAAGGTTGGATAAACCATGCTGGAAGTCACCTGCACTAGATGAAAAGACACACAGCCAACAGCTTCGCACCCACAGTCCAGCCCTTGTCCACCTCTCCAATATCCACAAACCAGATGACAGATACCTGTACATGAGAATGCAACTTTACCTTTTGCTTTTTATTAGTGTCCCATTCTGCTGGCTCTCGTATCTGGAAGATGTTCCTACACCAGTCCTGACAGACTGCTCCACAAACCCTGCTGGCTCGGCCTTGCGGCTCTGCCTGTCAACAAGAGGCCTTTGGCTTGAGAAGCTCCTCTTTGCTAGCTCCCTCTTCTCTCCCAAGCTCCCACTCCCGAGGCCACCCTCCAGCTGGCCTTCGCTCTCTGAAACTCCATCTCGCCTCTCCCGCCGCTCACTGAAGTCACTGCTTTCAGATGCTGTCTCCCACTCCTCGTTGGCATGGTCCGATGAGTTCTGGTAAGACAGCTCAGGAGACCGTCTGCCCGAGATGCTGCTCTTCTCTGCAGTGCTCAGCTTGGGTCTTCCAGGCCACTGGCTGGGCAGCAGGTTGGGGCCTCCCTCCTCAGCGTTCCACTGGCCGACTGACTCCCTCTCTTGCCTGAGGCGCCTGAATCGAGGGGGCTTGTCTTGGCGGGGGGGACGCCGCCTCCTGAATGGCCTGTTCTCAATGTTCTCCTGATCCGCTGAGTAATCCTCCTGGAAAAAGTGCCTTTTGTCATCCAGATGACTCTCATCAAAAACTCGGCTGGAGAAGGAATCCACATGTTTATAAGAATCCTGAATGTAGTCCCTGTCAGACTGCTGCCTGCTCCCAAAACTGTCCGATGGAGAGGTGTGGCTGTACTCCTGCCACCCAGCTCCCCCACTCCTGCCTTGCCACTGGGTAGGCTCCTTACCCATGAAACCCCTTCGCCCATAGCCAGAGTTACTCAGTCTTGGCGGCAGTGATCTCCCAAAAGCTCTCGGAGCTCTCATCTTAGGATCCAAACTACTGTGATCATCTGAATAGATTTTGTTGGACCTCCAAGACTCTTTGAAGTCTCCCTTTTTCAAATCACTGTCCTCCCTGTCCAGCACAGAGCCTTCATTGCTGTTTTCCAAGCCCCTCTGCCGACGACGCTTGGGGAGCTCCTCGTATTCTGACCCTTCACTGTGCGTCTCGCTTGCAATCCGGCGCCTTGGCTTGCCTCTGGGGAAGTCCTCTGGCTGGCTGAACTCCCGAAGTCCTCGCCCTCGGCTGCTCCGCTGGTTGTTATAGACGCCCCGGCTGCCCACAACAGTACCTCGGCCTCTGAAAGTGAACTCTCTGAAACCTCTCCCTCGCCCACGCCCTTGACCTCTCCCACCAAAGGCTTGTTCCTCATCAATGAAGATCCAGTTGTTTCTTTTTGTGGGAGGGAGATCACCGGACTCTCTGGATAGTTTGCTCTCCCAGGTTCTTTCTGGCTTCTCTTCCTCCTCTTCTTCTTCTTCCTCCTCTTGGGATTTCTCAGCTTCTCGGGCAAGGCTGGCTTGGGAAGAACCTTTGTCATCCAACAGGTAACGTGTGGAGTTCAGTAAGGCTGCAGAATCATCGGACTCATTTTCTACTTTCTGAACAGCCACCTTCTCCTTCAGTGGACGTGAGGTGTCCTCTCCCTCCAGTTTAACCTTCTCCATTTCCTTCTCCTTCTCTTCCACCTTGAGAGCTTTCAGGACTGGTTTTTTAATCGGGCCTGATCGTCGCGTCCTCCCCATTTGCTCCTGGTGCTGGCCACTGGTGTTCCGGTTCTCAGGAGCCCACTCTGTCGTCTCTTCAGTGGGCTGTTTGGTATTAGCTCCATCTTTCTTCCATGGATCAGCACTGAATGCCTGCTCATCCCTGGGCACTTCTTCAGCAGCTTCTGCTGCAGTCTCTCCAGGTTTCTGATGGTGGCTGATATCCCAGCCATTATACTCAGGCTTCTTCTCTGCTTGGATAAAATCAGGCTCCAGGGGCGAACACCTCAAGTTTGCATGGCGGTTGCCAGCAGAACAGGTCTCCTGCACAGTCTCCTGATGCTGAAACAAGAGATCTTGGCCTATCCTCTGAGATGACAGGCAGCTGTCAAAGTCTGCTTGGGCCTTCTTGTCAAAAGCATTCAAGTACTCCTCCCTTCTCTCCTCAAAGAGATCTCGTTGGGTGCTCAGACTCTCTGGCCTTCCAGGAGAAGCAGAGTAACTGTCATTCCTGAGAAGGAAACAAACAAAATAAGGTCAGCTAATGCAAAGCATAGCACATCTCCAAAGGCCCAGGCTGCGCACAAGAGGTGGAAACAAGTAAGTAAATTGGTGTTTGTTCTAAATTATGAGGCAATGAGCCTATAACCACACGAATGCTGGCCAGGTTTGCTGTGGCCCCAGGCTCTAGCACCTAGTTTGTCAAATGGATGACAAAGAAAGCAGCTCTTATGATGGGTAGCAAACTTAAGAAATAAAAGGGAGATTCAGCCTCCAACACATGTGGGGATCTGAAGGAATTGCTTTCAGAAAGTCCCAAAGAATTAGGAGACAAACTAGAAAGTATCAGAATTTTTGACTCATTGTTTTCTGTACCCACCCATGTAGGTGTCAAGTACCTCCCTCCTACTGAACAGGCTCTAAGCTGGTCAGCCTCGACTGGCATCAGACAGAAAAACTCCGAATAGCTCAGTCTAAGCTCCTCCATGACATAAACACTCAACAGTGTAAGGGTGATACCAGATCAGTACCCTGACCTGTTCCGGGATATCCTTTGGGTCAACTCTACACCTGCTTTTTAGTAGATGAGGACTGCTGTGATTCGAACCCAGCCAGCATCCAAACACCACACAGCCACTCGCTCACCCTCCCCCCCCCAGCCTGAGGGATGGGGGAGAGAATTGGAGGGGTAAAGAGAGACTCATAGGTTGAGAGAAAAATAGTTTAATAATTGAAAAAGAATAAAACAATAATAGCAAATACAAATGGGTGATACACAGTATGACTGTGCTCCCGCAACTGCAATCCCAGACACAAGAGAGAACCCTCTCCTTCCTGGCTGACCCTCCTTCATATAGTGAGCATGACGTTACATGACATGGACTATTTCACTGGCCAATTGGGGTCTGGTGCTCTGGCTCTGCTCCCTCTCAGCTTCTTGTGCACCTACACACAGACAGGACATGGGGACTTGGAAAGTCCTTGATCTCTTAATACACTCATGTTTTCAGTTGCTGCTATCTGCATTTTTCTCATACCAAATCCCAGACTGAATCTAAACCACAGCACTACTGCAGCTACTAAGAAGAAAAATTAACTCTATCTCAGCTGAAACCAGGACAACACCTTATGTCAGTACCTCCCATCACAGCACACATGAGGACAGGGGTGGTCTGCACTCACCTGGCATGCAGCCCCTCCAGGGTCATGTTGTCAGACTGTTTTTGATGTGACAGGGAGTACCCTTTGCTCTGCAGAGATGTGTAGCTCTCCTGGCCCCACACTGGCACAGGGTCCAAGGGCGCAGTTTTCCTTTCCACTTGCCCCGCCTGACAGTTCTGATCTTCAGACCGGCAGCTGCTCCCACCGATGGAGTCCTGCTGAATCATGGGCTTCATAATTCCTGGTCATGACAGAGTGCATACCATTAACACTAGGATCTCGTAGCAGAAAAGAATTAACAGTCCATAGCTATCTTAACCCCTTCCTTCCTTCCAGGGCAGCAGGTGACTGCAGCCATGGAAATATTTCTGGTAGAGGGGAGTCTGTGCTTGGGAAACACACAGCTGGGAAGTGCACCTGGAGTGATACAAAAAGTGATCCAGCTTTCAGAGCCCAGCCTGCACACAACACTACATATCATCACTGGTCTGGAAGCAAGCAGGTGTGTGAAAACAAACCACAAACTCAAGGGAATGATTTATACATCCAGATGTTTAGATTCACACCTCTGAAGATCAATAACAAGGTAGGAAAGTGCTAGGAACACACAGCTCAGGAACTACAGGATTTCTCCATCACACTTATTGAAGGGAGTCTATTAAGATTTCACATGATTACAGTAACTCCCAAACCAATCCTCCTCCTCCAAGGGGCAAGATCTACTTTTACACCCACTAAGGCTCGAAAGCTGTTAGGGAAGATCTCCCACTGCACTGCAGGGGATGGACAAGCAGGTGTCCCCTCTCCCAACCGCCTCTGTTCCCTCACCAGCTCTCATTTCAACTGACTCTTTCCCATCCCTAGACAAGGTCAATCCCAGCCAGTCAGGATGCAAAGTCTGGACAGAGGTAAGATGGGTGAAATACAGCAACTTTCCAGATGTGGACCAGCTCAACAGCTATGACAAAGGGTAACACTGAAAACACTGTACCTGAAGGGTGAAGGGATGAAGGGTAGAAATCCACAGGGGTGCGACTCTGGGCCATGCGAGGGTCCATATAAGAGGGCATCATCATCCAGCGAGGATCAAAGCCAAGCATCTGGGGGTGTGGTGGGTAGAATGTCCGTTGGGGATGGGAATGGGATGGGGGAGGATAGACCTGCTGCTGCTGCCAGTGCTGCATCTTGTACAGCTGCTCCTGCAGGGAAGAAGGATGGGCCATTTGACACAAACGGTCGTGGTGCCAGGAATCACACTTGCCAACTGGCCAGCCGAAGAAAAACACGTTTCATGTGTTAGAGCCTCAAAAGCAGATCAGATGGGAGGGCCGAGCAGGTAAGAGCAACTCACTACCAACTGGGAATGTGTCAGTAGCTGTTACTCTCCAAATGATCAAAACAGCCAGAATGTCACTGTCAAGTGCAGCCAGAATATAACTGTGGGCCATGCTACGTGGCCAAATGCAAGGGGATCGGCTTCAAGACCAGAGTTTGCATTTTCTAAACATTTATATGAGATACAGGGCAGCTTCCTGTCAAACACAATTTCCTAATTGGAACCAAATACGTTAGAAGATGTTGCTCTTTGGAGGAAATGCAATTATAAGTTATTTAATGCGCATATATATTAGTTCTACTCATGTTAGCTGAACAGATTAGATAAGAACATCCTAAACTCAATTAAGAGAGCTATTAATATTTTACAGTATTTCCTGTGCATCCTCCAGAGATGGGCTGACACCTTCAGGTTGTTCCCATCTCCCACGTGGCCAGTCCACCTTCCTTTACCTGAGGACTGTCATGATGTTAATCTGATTTAACATTTAACTTTTGCTAAAGGTTCAAGAAGAATCTGTATTTGAAGGGAGCTTTGTGTACCAAAGAAAGTTTTCAAAAGGTAAATAGCTCCAATTAACATGAAATATGTCTATTTACTTGTCAAACTTTCTACCAGCTTTTCTTACTAGGCTTACAGTGTCAGATACTGTAACTGTTTATAACAAAAGCCAATCTCCTGTTGCAGAGCAAGAGAGACACCCTTAAATCTGAACCTGACACACCGTTACAGCAAGAAAGAAATGCAGATAAATGTAAAGATTATATCTGAGCTATTTAGTGCTTCAGTATGTTAAGAGAAAATATTTCATTAGTGATACCAATGTTACTTCTATATTTTGTTCTTTTCATGGAACCATTGCTACCAAAACAGCAATACAAGCCAACCAAAATACAAACTGCCTCATACATACTAATGACACAGAGGATAAGAGAAAATAAAATGAAAATTTCATGTTCTTCCAGTAGCAATGACCTCTGGTATTATTAGCATGACAGCAAAGACATCCAATTATTTTTAGTTTAAGAGCATCTCTTTTAAAGAGTAACATTAGCAGTGTTTGCTGCTATACATCTGAATCGTGAAAATGTCAACTGCCCAGTAACAAGCACAGAGAACATCCATGAAAGAGCAATTACCGAGGTTCTAAGCAAAAGTCAAATGTGAGTTCTTCACTAAGGCTTGCAGCAGCTTTGATGATACCACATTTCAAGTGGTTATTCTATGAAGAATGGCAATTAACTCTGCATCATCTCAAGCCTGGATATTCTGTCCCTTACTTTGACTCCGCTACCCTAAGGAGGCTCACTGCATCTGGAAGAAGAGCTGAACAGCATGTATAGCACATACAGCACTGTAAGGCCAGGCAAGATGCAAGACATACAAAGCAATTCAGGCTGGTCTCTCAGAGCCCCAGTAGAGATTTTTCAAAAAAAGACAAAAATGAAACAATTAAGATCAAACATATTTATGGTGCAAAGAAAATACTGATTTGAAAGAGCCTCACAGAAAAAAAAGTTGGGTAGGTAGTTGATGAGAGCAGATACAGAGAACCACCTCTCTGCAAAGGCAGGGAGTGGAATGAGAGGTGTGCCACTTCACAACCCTCATGTTCAGCCCAGAAGCAGAGTCCAACCACCTGCTAACCTACAGCAGTTTGCCCTTGGCAAGCAAATGGCTGCCCATACCTAACAGGGTAAGGGCACAGCAAGTGCAAAGTGAAATGGAAGCAGCCGATCCCCAAAGGTTTTCCTTTCCCTTGGCCTGTATATTCAGCTCCCTATCACTACCGCAGTGCTGAAGAAGAGCAGCTCTCATCTTGTGCCAGGGAATAAAAACAGATGTTCCCCAGGTTCAGTGCCAGCCAAAGGCATTAAGAGACTTCCCTGGATCAGGCTTACAGCAAGCACCAAGGTAGCCACTTCTGCTCTCTTGACTCTGGAGATGGGAACAGCCCCAGCTTCTCCTGCATACACACGTTTGCAAACCAGAGCTCTGCTACAAACTACACAGTCCTAAGATTTCACATTGTCAGGAGACACCCAGACAACCGTGCAAGACAAGCCAACATTTCTGACAAGCAGTGTCTACTTTTCTCCCAGGCAAGTGACAAACCTGGCCTGCCCATGCCTCTCCTTAGCCACAGAAAGCCCTAGCCACAACAGCTCCAGCACCACAGGGTGCACATAAAATTCATGTAATCTATACAGAGCCCTTCTACCCCTGTGAGACAGGATACATCTGTGATCAAAAGTACTGAAAAAAGCCAGAGTAAAATTCCCATTTAACACCTCTCAGCCCAAAGACGGTTGGTTAGTTGGTTGTGTGACTGTGCTGAGAACCAAGCAAACGCAATGGTTTGGTGGGGGTCCAAGGGAAGAGGGGTGGGAGTGTCACACCTATTACCTGCTGCTGTTGCTGCTGCTGCCTCTGGAATCGTGGGGGAAGAGACTTCTGGTATTTGCTGAATTCCTGTGCTGGGGAGGGAGCTTCTCTGAGCTCCTCCTCACTGCTGCTTCGGGCTGCTGCTGCTGCTGGGGCAGGAGTCTCCTCTTCCAGATAGCCAACAGAGACATCCTGTGTGTGAAACTCAGGGGTTGCTGCAGAGAAGAAAATTAGCCTTGATGAGCTCTGCTCATGACAGGGCTTGTGCATGTACCACCACACAACACACACAGGTGTGGGTATGTCCTGACTACGTTATGTGGTTGAACTTTATTATGATCATACACAGCACCTCACATACAATCTCCTTGATTTGCCTTGACAGCTCAAGGGCTTTGTCCATCTGGTTTTCATGATAAATTCTAAGATCCTCCTCTGCCATCAGCCTTCTGCTTAAGCACTGGGGGGCGGGGGGGGGGGAAAGCTGATTTCCCCTGTTACTACTTAAACCTGCCAGCACTTAGTGATAACTGGTTTTCTGATCTGTGGCTCATGAGCACTTTAATATCATCATCCAATCATGACAAGATCAAGAGGCCCGTTCCAACAAGGTCTGACAGCATGGCTGACTGAGCACAGATAAATGCAACCAAAGAAGTCTGTGTTTTAACAGGATGTTTGTTTGTTTGTTTTTTGTAAAATGAAGCTTCATCACCAATCCAAAATACTCTGCAGAACACGAGGCAGCTGATATCTCAAGTGCAACTGAAGTACCTTCTGAACAATACCTCCCAGACACTCCCCCACACTTCAGGTAAGAAATTGGCACAATAGCAAAAAAGCAGTTTTTACAAGCCAAGCCAAGCAATGTTTCTGTACCTCTACGGAAAGCATGACCATTCTCTTGCACAGCATTTTTCTCTGTGCTTGGGGCTCGCAGGTCTTCATTCTCTGTGTGTTTCTGGGTCTCCCCACTCTTCTGAGCCAGTTTGCATTTCTGATCAAGTTGCTTCAATTTTGCAGCGCAGGCTGCCAGACGCTCCTCCCTGGCTCGTCGCTCCTCCTCCTCCCGTCGCCTCCTGGCTCTCTCGACAGCCTCAGAGATCTCAGAGTGCACAAACTTCTGTCTCAGTGGCACTTTTTCTTCTTTATCCTCAAGGGACTGCTGTCTGAGAATACTTCCCAGTGTGGGCTTCTGCCAAAGGAAAACATACCTCAATAAGCATGACCCAAACAACTCCTATCTTGAGCTTTGCATCCCATGCTGAGAAAATCCCCTGCTGACTCCATTCCCTCTATATTCATGCACACAAACCGCCCTTTCGGTTGGGAGTTATTGCTATCTGGTTCAGTATCTCCACTTTCTCACTGTCTGACAACCCCACTGCCCTGGACCAGCTTCAATTTCTTTTCTCTAGTGGGAATGCTATGCAGATGGGTTTCTCTCCAGCTGGATATAAACAAAGAATTGAGAAATTCATCAGCATTCTGCTTTCAATAAAATGTCAAACTGGCCTCTTATGGACAGTGATGCATCACATCCAGCACCACAAGCACACTCACATGAGTTCAAACTACCTGGTATTCAGATGCAGAGCTCCAGCCATTCAACTTCCTTGGAGGCTGCTGTGAATCCTGCACTTTCCGGACTGACCGGGACAAGCCAACTGAGTCGCTCCAATTCTTTCCTTCCTCCAAGGTGTGTTTGACATCTGCACTGTCTGCAGAGCTCAGGGACAACTGTCTCTGCCTTCTGGGATCCCAGCTGTTCCTGTCATATAAACAGCCTTGCTATTATATTTGCTACTTGCCTCAAAAAGCACTTGCAGTCTTACCTAGTGGCAAAGGCAACTAACTGTAACAGAAAGGAAAGATCAAAAAGCTAGAACCACACACAGAACAAGCAATGCACTTTTAAGGTGCATAAGGATTAACAACAATATCGGGCGGCAGGATAAAGATGAGACACAGAAAGGGGAGGAGGAAAAAAGCCTGGCATCCTGGCATTCAGCTTTAAGACCTACAGCCATCCTTGAAGCCCACTCAAAGAATGACTAGTGGAATCGACAAAGTCACAGTATGAATCAGTGGGATCAAGCCTTAATATTTAGAACAGGTTTTAAAGAGATCATGGTATTGTTTACTTTTACTGAAACAACTGTAGGTGTGAATACAGCCACTTCTTACCACTTCTGTCGTCCATCTTTAAGAGTTTCTTCCTCTTCCTCATCTTCACTAAACTTTAGTTTCTCAGAGTAATCCACTTCATCATGAATGCCTACAAAAGCAGGATTGGAAAAAGGATATACGAGAGGAAAGAAAGAGATCCCTTTACCTGATAAAGCTTATACCCTCTCTGGCACTAAACCAGAGAATGCATAGGCTTGGCATAAACTACTTGGAAAGTCAAATGTCCACCACAGGTACTGGAAATGATGCAAGTAGTGTGGACCCACACTGCTGAACAGCTGGTCTGGTTTCAGAAGAGGAGAAGCAAGCAGTCTGGGAATGGGGGCTGCAAATGAGGAGACAGCCACCACGTGAGACCGGGCAGTTGGATACTGAACACCATGACTGAAAAGGTAGGACTAATACTTCTTCCCAGCAGCCATGCTGCTATCCTCCTGCTGTTTGGTGTTGTCAGATTTTAGGAGTCTTCAGATCCGGTTCCTTGAGTACAGTGTGATGGAGGGATCAGAAGGATCCATTGTGTCATCATGTACACCAACAGCAATTTCACAACTACCCAGATCACTCTTTGCTTCTCCTCCTTCCTTCTATGGCAGTGAAACAGAATCACCAGAATTTCCTGGCTATTTCATGCATCAGGAAGGAATAAATACTTTGCTTCACCTCCTAAGTTCTTGCCTGAAGCTTGAGAACAGAAGCACTTTACCTGCCCATCCATCATCCGCATCAGTGTCTAGTTCATCCAGCCCCTTTAGGTTCTCTGCATTGATAATGGTCGGCCGAGGTGCTCGCTCTACTTGCTGCCGAACTGGACGTGTTGGGCGAGACAGGCTGAGCCTGTTCTCTTTTCTACAGGGAAATGCAAAGAAATGGTTAGAAACAGCAAACAGTAAAGAAAAGAATGCAGAGATGAGTTTGGAACAGTGAATCAGTTTTTTTCTACCATGCAGTTAAATACAATGGCTCCAAGTTTCTCTCCCTGTCCAACAAAATTTATTTCTCTTGTCTACCTGGTACCTACTTCCTAGGGCTTACAGATCAGAGCTGCAACACTTCTAGTCCAGGAACACACACAACTACTTCTCACATCCACCTGCTCTTCAGACACAGTGCTTACAGTCTTGCACCATTTCTGATGCTGCTGTATCTGCAGCAAAACACTGCTTCTCTGGGTAAAAATCAGGTTTCCTCCATGGCTGCCTGCAGCTTCACCCACACAGCTGGATCCTTGGCCCCAATTCTTGCATAGTTTAATGTTCATGTCACACCCTGAACCTGCCTCTCAAGTGGGACAGTCATGGCAGCCTTACCCATCCTGGTCATTCATCTGGTATTGTCTGAAAGGTACCCGGGGCTCAAGGCGAAGCTGAGGAAGGGGGAAAGACCCTCGGTCCAGCGATGCAGGGGTCTCAGATGGCTGTTGTGGACACATCTGGAACAACGCAAAGCAGAATAGTCTGTTTTTTCTCCTTCCCACAGGAAGGTTTACCCAGATTAGGTTACAACATGATCATGGTAGCTGCATCCACACAAAGAGAAAACAAACATTTCACATCTGGCTGCCTCACAGGCCACGTGCTAATGGTTACTACTCTCTCCAGCTCTACAAGGAAAGCAGAAACTCCTTGGGCTGAGCAAGGCTGTGCTACACTATTCTAGCACGAAACGGTAAACACTCAACAGGGGAAATTAAAAATCACACACATAAGAAGCAAAGACATTACACAGCTGTGGGGAAAGGGCCACTTACAAAAGCAGGTAGCATGTCATGGTATGTAGGTGGTTGGTAGACATTTCCCATGAACTGCGAAGCCCCTTTGCGGACAGGCTGAGCTGGGCGGAGAGACGGCTCCTTCGGATCGCTGGCACTCACTGAGGAGGGGGCTCCGTCTCCGGTGCTAGAGGTCTTGCTGCCCAGCTCAGCAGGGGAGGCGGCCAGAGATGTGGCAGAGGTTATGTTCCTCCCACCGCCCTCCCTCCAACTGGTGACATCTGGGAAGGAGGTAATAATTATGTTAGCATTTGTAAATGCTGACAGTCACTCTGCCAGGAAGTCTCAAAACTCAAATACTCTGGTCAAGCCCTAATTGCACTAAGCAAGTAGAAGAACATCAGGGTCCAAGGAAAATTTCCAAATGTGTTTATTTTCCTAAGAGACTAGCAGCATCAGCCATTATTAAGTAATTGCAGCACCAGTGGTGTCTTTATTTGTCAATAAGCCTAAATTCCAACCAGCTGTGTTCCCCATCTCCACAGTCCTTACCCTGTGGCAGAATTAAGGCCAATTAGATCATGCACAAACACTCAGAGAGAAGCCACGTTACACCACACTCTCATTTCACTTGTGACTCCCCTAGCCCCGGGGGAAAGGGGCTGCTTTGCAACATCACACTGCAATTTTTATTGAACGACGTAATAGATACATACTTGGCTGTCTAGACCACAGAACTCAGTCAGTGAACATCAGCACTACACACAAATCTGTGGTCATTTGCTAAGCTGCTTCATATGTGTGAGTTCATGAAAGGATAAAAGGAAACGTAAGGATGGAATATCTGATGCTACTGTGAACTGGCATCCTCATGCCCAAAACAGTTTTTCAGATTATGAGCTGGGCTAAGGCAGAAAGACACAATCATTCACTTACTCTGGGGGCGGAGGCTTGGTCCTGGCCCATACGACGGATCTAAGGCGCCCTTTTCTTTGCCAACCTTGTCCTGCTCGCCAGCTGCTTTCAGCGTCGGAAATTCCTCGGGAGAGAAGGATAACAGTCGGCTTGAGGCCCTTGAACCTGTCAGACAAATAAGTGTGGGACTCAGAGAAGATATTTCCACTCTTTCAATTCCCTTACTAGATCAGCCTGGAAATAAGTTTCCTGAGAATCTGGGCCTCCAGCAAATTTAAACCCAAATTACTATTGTACCAGCACCTCAGCTCACATCTAACACACTCTCAGACACTCTCATCAACACAACAACACATGTCCTCACTCAGTACTCCCACATTTTTAACTTGGGATCTTCATTTAAATTCTCACGTTCAGTGAAGTCAGAGTGAACTTTCTCAGCTTCCAATTATTTTTGTAAAGTACAAAACTCAGACTGAGGCAGAGATACAAATTCTGCAAGATCATTTATAGATGATATCCTATTATGAAGTATTTGACATTTCTATTCAGACTCTTTCTGCTCAGATTTCACTCTACTGGTGAAGTCTATTGTAAAGATTTCTGGCAATATACTCAGTGAAAGACAAAAGATAAGTACTGAGTGCTACATGCTATACCCCACTCTCCTCCCTGCTACAGCATTTTTAAGATGCATATCACTGGACACATCAAGCCAGGTTCATTTCTTGTCATTGGCAGATTGTCTTGCCGAGTCATCAGCCACACTAAAATGACAGCTTTCTGTCCATTCTAAAGATCTGCCAGTGACTGGGAAACAAAACACAGCAATTCACATAAACATGTTGGCAAGATAACACTGAATAGAAGGAAATTGTCAGCATTATTGCATTACTAACATTAAAAAAAAAATGGCTTTTTTGAGAACTGCTTCTTCGTGTTACTTGGCTAATGCTCTTTTTAAAAACAGTATCAGCAATGAGTACTGAAGGCCTCACAGAAGAGTCTCATCTATCTTTATCCTTCCTTGCCCTAAAGGGTCAGGAAGGATTGGCATCTAAGTCATTTTCACTTTCTGGAACTTGCACACTGTACAAGATCTCCTATCTGAAGATTTTCAGGGAAGGTACTGCAACTGCTGCATGTAACATCTTCAAGTATTTTGGACAGATGAGAATACACAAGAACAACATTTCTCAAATACACCACAAATTATCCAAGATATGCCAAGAGTTCTGATTTCTACAGCATTATTCTACTAAACTAAAATGGCAATGAGAATATTGACAACATGTAAGTATCTTTCAGAGGAAATTTCCACCCCCCCAAGTAAGCCTGTACAGTATAATGACTGTTAATGTGTGTCATGGTTTAAACCCAGCTGGCAGCCAAACACCACAGAGCCACTCACTCTCACTCCCCAGCCCGGGGGATAGGGGAGAGAATTGGAGGGGTAAAAGGAGACTCATAGGTTAAGAGAAAAACAGTTTAATAATTGAAATAGAATAAAACCATGGAAAGTACAAACAGGTAATGTGCAATGCAATTGCTCACCACCCACCGACTGATACCCAGACTGTTCCTGGCTAGCAATCCCGAAAAAAAAACAATATTAAAAAAAAAAAAAAACAACAAAAAAAACAAACCCAACCAAGATCCCAAAACCATAATCCTGGAAGTGAGAGAAAACCCTCTCCCCTTCCTGGCTGACCCTCCTTCATATACTGAGCATGATGTTACATGATATGGAATATTTCACTGGCCAATTGGGGTCCGGTGCTCTGGCTCTGCCCCCTCCCAGCTTCTTGTGCACCTGCACAGAGGCAGGACGTGGGGAGTTGGAAAGTCCTGGATCTCTCAGCAACAGCTGAAAACATCAGTGTATTATCAGCATCCTTCTCATAGCAAATCCCATACTGAATCCAACACAGCAGTATTGCAGCTACTAAGAAGAATAACTTTATCCCAGTTGAAACCAGGACAATGTGCAGGTAACTAACAATTTGGACTCTAACCATAGGCACCATCACACTGATAAAGGTTTGGAGAAAAAATGAAGATGCACCAAATGCCCCTTATACAGAAGACACAGGCATGGAGCAGTTCATAATTAATTTACTAGACCACGTTTCTTCAGGATATGCCCTCCAAAAAAGATTTTACAGCAGTAATATCTAAAAGAAAGCAAAAAGCATAAGACTTTCCTTTTTGTCAGTAACATTAGAAACTGCTGTATTAGCTTAGAAGGAAAAGCAATTGTTCAACGCCACTGGAGAAAAGGTGCAAGGATGGGATGGCCTAAGAAGTACTTTCAGCCAGATTTCTGATGCTTCTGTGATTCAACTGCCTTCTAATTAAGCTGCTCTTAGCCACATATGTAACTCTTTTTTGGGGTTGAGAACTCTATATTGATAAGTGGGACCTAGAATGAGCTTTCAAAAAAACCTTTAAGAACACAGTTAGGTGATCAGATCTCAAAATAACTGTACAGGAGGTCCACATAGCAACAGCTTCAAAAAAGTACCAATTAACCAAACAAGACACGGTCTTTGCACTGGCCACCAACCTCAGGCAGGCACAAGTCTCTGCTTTAACATTCAGGCTCTGAGAAACAACCTCTCATTAAGGGATTCATTTCATTTAGGATAAGCTTGTCCCCTCCATTTCTACAATCTGCAGCTGCCTCAATTCTTTCAAATCTCTGCAATTTCAGTCGACAACTAAATGGTTCCAGGTCTGTTCACATTAAAACAGTGGAACTGAGCTGTTATTCTCACTGCAGTTTTAATGGCAGTACTCTGTGCAGCTGAAAGCCACCTCAGCATCTGAGGGCAGCTGAACTCCCAATCTATGTTAACACTGCTTCAGGATCCTCAGTCAAGCAGAAGCCATTAGCAGCACAGTTACTCAGGGAGACTTAATAGAAAAGCCTCAGCCAAGGTGTAAGCACACACTGACACCATAATATCCTTGGACCAAGGATGCCATGTACAGCCTCCCTGAATATTATCATTACAGTCTCACTTTTGACCACCTAATTAGGTGAAGCTCCCCATGCTCCTAGTCATGGAGATGCCTACATTCTCAGACCCTGATGTGCTCTCTCCTTTCTTCTTTTCTTCTAAACCAACCCCTCCCCTCTTCCACTCCGTTCTCTGCACCTTTATTATGCTCTGGGCTGACAGAAGATGCTTATGAGGGGGCAAATGTTTCCTTTCTCCTTCAAAACCTTCACCTTCCAGAACTTCCCACTTCCTCCAAGTGCATAAACCATTCTGATTCAAGATGGCAATGGGACACATTCTGTTCAAGCTATATCTTGCACTGGCAGACCCGAACAGATGCAGTTGCATCAACCCAGACAACACACTACACAGACTGAAAACAAGACTCATACAGCCTCACTGCACTGTAACCAAGACAGCTATGCCCCCTTCTGCACCAGTCTAGACAGGAGGGCAGGAAGAAACGGAGTCCACCCCATCTCATGCCTGTGTGGGAGGAGCAGGCACACAGCCAGCTCCATTCCTGTTTATCATACTCACCACCTTCTTGTCCTGCTGGCTTTCCATTCAGCTGTGCCCATGACTTTGGTCCACCTGGCACTGAATTTGTACTCTGAAAACAAACAAACCAACAACAACAAAAAAAAAAAAAACAATACCCACAGATCAGTGAAGTCTCATGACTGTTTCTCATTTCCTGACTGGCACCTGCTACAGTTCAGACCTCTAGCTCACCCAGATGTCACTGGATACCACAGGTCGACCCAGCTTCTTTTTGGGGCTAATGTTAGCTACTCCCCACTCCAGTGTTCTATGATGCTACAGCAAAAATCCTCTTCTCTGCCCTGCCTCTCACCTCTCTTCCGCTAATCTTTATCAACTATTTCCTCAAAACATTCCTCTTGCTTTCCGCTCTCTAACCAAGCTTTCCCTTTGTTCTATTACATCTTCCCAAATGGTCCTTCTTAATCTTCTACATTTGTTCCATGCTACAACTCAGCTTGAAGGTTACCCTACTTTCTCATGCATTAACCACTTCTCTTCAAAACATAACTCCTGTCCTGATTTCCTTGAACATCAAAGGCTGGGATATTTTTTTTAAACTGAAAGTGTGAAATCTGCAGCACAGAGGGGCCAGGTCCCTGCACTCTCTGGGGAAGCTTTCTTACTTGCCAGTAGCTTTTTTCAGGTCCTGACACTGGCTACTTCTCCCACATGACCAGATCTCTTCTTATCAAGTCTCATCAGGCTGGGAGCAAGAGCTGGATCTGTTGTCACCGAGGGACACTTGAATTAGACCCGAAGGAAAATAATTTAGAAGTGCTAACCAGCCATCCCATATTCCAGCCATTTTTTTTCTAGATTGAAGTTAGACTTTCTGCACACATGTGAAGTACAGAAGTAACGTGCACAGAATTACAGTCTAATTGCAGCACAGCATTCCTGGGGTACAGTAACTTGGAGTCAGGAGAGTCAATACTACACAAATTGATTACACAGGAGCTGTTCTGTAAATTGCAGTCTGCTGATTCTTACTTGTGCAAGGCAATACAGACAATTAAAGAAAACCCTCAAGCTGTCTGGGGGGCAGGGGAAGCAGGGCAGCAACCAGAGACCACTTGCACCTACCTCCTGACTGATTGACTGTGTCGGCTTCTGTAAATTGGAGACAGATTTCTGCAAACCCTGCTGCGGCAGCGACTCCTGCAGCTGTGCAGCCGTCGCACTGGAACTGAAAAAAAGACAGCAGAGGTGAGATCAAAGGGGAAGGCAGGCAGGGAGACAGACAACCAACTCTGGCAACATAGCAGCTGCTAAAAGACAAAGGTAACATTGGCTCTACACTGGCATGGACAAGAGAGAACTGATCACTGTAAGGCCCAACACACAGCACAGCAGTGCAAAACTGCTGCTGCTTGCCTGACAAAATTTCAGCAAAGAATAGTTCTACCTACCTCTTTTGGTCTGACTGATCCTGCTTGTTTGCCCATCCTGTACCGTCCTTGGGTACTATAATGATGTTGGGGTCGTTTCCTTTGTTCTCAGACTTCAAGCTAGGCAAGTTTGCAGGAGGTGGCATGCGCCGGGCAGCAGCAACTTTCCCAAGACTCTGTAAGCCATGTCTAGGAATAACTGGTAAGAAAGGAACAATGGCAGGTCATAAAGGGCTATATCCTGCTAGATAAGTAACCATAATTAGCATACTGTGGATGGGTGCAGTCCCAACAGAACTGTGCGACAAACAGCACCACTGCTGCTATGTCAATATACAGGTCACATCCCACAGGCCCACGGTGAAGCAGCCGTCTGTTGTAGCAGCTGGCTAACAGGCAGCCTCCTACAACAGTTGGGAGGGAGCGAGAAATAATCTTCCCTAAGAGAAAATGTCCACAGAGTCTTTTAGCTACCTGTGCAGATACTCCTCTTTCATTTCACCAAGAAGCAGCAGCATCACCCTTTCACAGCTTGAGGAAATGGCCATCCAAGCCCACCTCTTCACAGACAGACTGGTAATCTAAGTCAGGAGTCCTGTGTTCTAAATTTCCCAGCTCTACCCACCAGATCACATTTATTAAGATGGTATTTTATTTTCTTTGAATTTTCTACATCCACACCAAATCCAGAGCCAGCCCACGCAATGCTCTCATTTTTTTTTTTGACCCCATCATCTACTTTTGGCCACATCTTCACTGCAAAACTAACTCAGGTTCTTCCCCAGAGGCCTTCAGTCCTCAGCTCTCACTTCACACAAGGTCTGACCAACTTAAGGCACTTCAGTCAGCTTAGCTGCCCTGTCTTGGTATAGCCTTAGACAGCAGCACAAACAGCTCTGCCACCCAGCTGCTTCCCACTGGACATCCTACCCACAGGGTCAACAACTTGAATTAGTTCCGCAACAACTCTTGGAAGATACCAAAAGGAGCTTCTGAAGGCATTTCTTACCTGTAGTTCTGATAGCTTCTATTGACTTTCCTTTATACTTATCAAACAGGCTGAGAGTCGAGTACTTGCTTTTCCCATCCTTTCCCTTGGTTATTTGCCCCAAACGATCGGACATTGCGATGAAATGTCATCTAGTAAGGAAATTTCTCTGCGCCGCTCCCGATCTGCCTTTTAATGAAAGAGAACCAGGAAAATGCCATCAGATTATTTAGCCACAGACAAGTAAAAAGTAAAACATGCACAACTGATAAAAGTGCATGTTCAGTGAACAGACACACTAAGTTACAAGGTTTTAACCTCCTCCTATTTAGACAAGAAGCTTATGGGATTTAAGTGGGATTTATGAATATAAACTGAATGAAAAGAACTGCAGGAACACACTTCTTGCAGCATCATCTTTTTTTCTGCCACTCCAGTGCTGAAAGAGGTGAGCTTCTTTCAAGTATGAGAATACAAGAGACAGTGGTCAACACAGTCCTTGCTTTAAAAGAATAAGTCTAACAATAAGCAGCTATGCACAAGGATTCCTAAACATAACTGATAGAAGAGCACTGCATCTTATACCACAGTGAAATTTATCACTCGGTTTTCCCACTGAAGCACTGGTAGCCAGGTTAGTAATGTTTTAGGCTTATGGTTCCACACTGGCCACAGTTAATGACTTGTGTCAGCAATTAATGCTCTGAAAGCATCACCTGAAGGCAGTTACTCTTCAAATTCCCTTTTCCCATCTGCTGGCCATGAGAGAGAGTTAAGGAGTCCAAAAAAATGCTCAAATGAAACAGGTTCAGAATCCTTAACTTGTGGGTTCAGCAGTTCTACTACGAATCCTGAAAACATTTTATAAAGAAAGATTATGTTTCTCTGTTGCTGGTGCTTTCAACACTACTTTTAGCTATAAATATACTTTTCACAATGGATGTGGTTTGTCAATTTTTTATTCTGATCTTTGCTGGCACAACATGCTGTGATTAACACCCTTCATGCAGACAGTCTCTTTACTTTCACTTTTTGGCTCTTGGAGCCCAGGACAAAGCTGAAACATGGGGAACAACACACTGTAGGTCAACTTTTATGTCAGAAAAGAAACTTTACTTACTTTCAATTTTTCAAGCATAATTTTCTGTTCTAAATTTTCTCAAATCTAAGAGCTTAATCTAACCTTTGCACATGTAATTTAGATTTCCAGATTTCTTATTGCAAAGCCTCCACTTCAAGCCTAAAACTGCTGGTAGTTTTATTATACCATCTGCTAGGTCCCATCTTAGGGTTGCAACTCTGTGTTTGAGTACAAAATTATATATATATCAACCGGACCTTCCCACCCTTCACCCTTTCTGGAAATCATCCAGCTCAACACATGTTTCAAACACAGTCAGATATCACTCTTCCTGAAACTGTACCTGGCCAGAGCCTACACCTTCCATCAGCAATGCCTTATCAAACATGATTTCCAGGTAAAAAGGTTAGTCCATCATGTATTATGTACAAAATAAAGCACAGCCCACAAACGTGTTGGATACAGCCAGTTTGAGAATGTGCTGCAATCTGCAACTAGCCAAGTAAAGCCCATCTAAAGGCTGCTGCCAGGGAGTAAGTTTCTGACCAATAAACCTGGCATCACGCAGCGTTCATTCTTGCATTGCAGGATTTAAATCAGGCCTGGCAGGAGCAAGAAGACGCGGAGTCTGTGTGCTAGGCAGCAAGCAGCGTGGTCGGAGATAGAGAAAGAAAAGCGTTTTCTGTCACTTCAGTAACAGCATCCACAGGACACTCAGGAAGAACAACAGGCTCCACCAGAAGCCCCTCACAGCCACCTTTGCTGGACCACCACATGGGGCTGCAGCACGAAGGCTTGTGGAGGCAACAGAGATGGCTGGCATTCTTGAGGCACCTTTTTCTGCAGAGTAGCTAAATAGATCTTCAGCTCCTATCTGGTTCAATCTTTGCTCAGATGGTCACTGTGTGCCAAAGAAAACAATAGCTCCTCCCTCACTTGCCCATTTCCACTGTATTTTATTAGTAGGACAGACATACAAGAGAAAGGGAGAAAAAACACTGATTAGCAGAGACTTGGCAGGGAAGTAGAAGCTGGACTGAAAACAATGACCTGTTTGAACTGGCAGAGTTGTGGGGAGCCCTAGACCAGAGTGAATGGCAGAGGGTGCTGCACGCCAGCCCTCAGCTGCGCTGGCAAGAGCACAGCCACCTGCTTTTACAGGTATCACGGGGCTGGCAGAGGGAGCCTGGCTCAGGGTCTATCCAGATCACGTCAATCCTGTACCAGCCTCACACAATCCCAAGCAATAAAATCCACTTTGAGGTTTAGAAAATTCAATCCACACAAAATTACTAGGCATTATGAAAAAAAAAAAAAAAAAAAAAAAAGAAAGAAAATAACTACCACAACAGGTTCAGGAGTTAGCTGGTTAACAGAAAATCCCCAAGTTCCTGAAAGTCAGCATACAAACAACATGCAGGGTAACACTGCCAAAGAGAAACCCTGACAACCAGTTATGTCGCTGGGTTTCAGCTGCCTCTTGACTACATCTTATATCACTAAAAGGATGCAGGAGAGATAAACAACCACGTTACAGCAGAGGAGCTGGGGACATACCAGGATAAAGCCCCTTGTCAAATTTTCTGGGACAGCCACAACTGCTGTCTGGATAAGTGAAATTTATTTTGAATTCCTTCAACGCTTTGAAGCTGAAAACGTGAAACACAGCTTTGTTTGTGTGTTACGTTTGCGCTCCAAAGGGGGAAACAGGTCTGTGGAGAGGTGAGGCAATATCCACACAGCCACTGTGCAAAGAGGCTGCAGCAGCACTGGGCCCAGATCAGACCTGTCCCTCCTGACAGCAGCCAGCTGCAGAGCAGAGCCAGTCCATGGCTGTTCCTGCCCAAGGGGATCACTGGCCACCCAGGTCACCCACAGCACTTCAGAGAGGCCACAGAGCCTTCCAAGGCTGTCAAGACTCTGGACTACTTTCCCATCACACAGTCAAGCAGAGAATCCAGGCAGGGATCGTCAAGGCCTTCCAGTCTTGCACAGGAAAGCCATTTCTGATAAAAACCAAGTTCATGAAGAATTGAATTGCCAGTCTGCATGCTTATTATTAGGTGAGCTAGAAGCAGAAGGCACATGCCAATGCTGACAACTGACAGCCTCAGCAAAGCCTCTGACCTGTGCTCTGGGTAATCGTGTCAGATTGCTGACCCTGAAGAAAGCATTATCCCCTGTTATGGACAATTAAAAAAAAAAAAAAAAAAAAAACCAAACAAAAAAAGAAAAACAAACAAACAAACAAAAAAAAATCAATCACCAGCATTTCTGCAAGGTTTCTCTCTGGGTTAATAGATGTCTTTGGGGGAAAGTTCACTCTCAGTTTTATCATGGAGCTTAGATCTTCCCATTCTCAGGACTAGCAATGTCTTCTGCAATATCCAGGGGCAGCACCAGAGCACAAAGTACCGAGGGTCTCACAGGAATCAGAAAATACTGCAGTACAACCAGCTACATTAGAGACCCCAGGATACAAATAACTGGACCAGAATCCTTTCCTGGGCAGAGGGCTCTGCTCTCCAGGAGTCTTCACATCCACATCATGTTGCCCTGAATTTGATGTTTGGGTATTGACCCCATCTAACTGCCTTTTAAAAGGGTATGTTCTAATCCAGAGAGCAACAGTGACATTAAGTGCCAGAGTATGCAAGTCTTAGAGCTACAGCAGGGACCTACCAGTCATAGGGATCCCATCCTGCAAAAAGAGCGATGTGAAAACCTTGAGTTACTGGCACTGGTAAGAACTGGAAACCCTCAAGCTGAAAACACAGCGAAAGAGAGAGACTCCTGACAAACGGGATTGTCTGCGAAGTTCTTTGTAAATCTATGTATGAAGGAGGCTGGGCTACTGGTGTTGTATTCACAAGACTTCAATGGAGCTTGAATACCTGGAAGTTAGCCAGCTTTAATTGAGCAGGGCAAACAGATTTATGAAAGGTAACTCACACACACACAAAAAGGAATCACTTCAGCTACTCTCACACCACTGAGCTCTACACTGAGCACAATCACTTGGGCAAAGGACCCGAGACCACTGCAGACCCTCACTCCTTGCTCACTTCACAGCAGCAGTCATGAACTCAAAACAAAGCAACAGGATGGAGATTAATAGTGAAAAGACTTTTCTCCAGAAGTAGGAAGATTTTTGACCTGAAATTGTATACAAATTGTTCAGAAACTCACAGGCTGCAAAAGCTAAACTGTACTTTTAGAAAAGAGAAGTGCTTAGAGTTGATGTTAAACTCAAATCTATTGTGGTTTCTAATGTTACTAGCAATGAAACCTTTTAAAAAACATAGTATAGTTTTACAGAAGATTAGCAATGTTCACTCTTTAAATACACATGGTCAATTTTGCTGGTACTTCTTACAGCTAAACATTTATCTGTCAGCAAGGAGATACCACAACTACTTCTGAAACATGTCCCACCAAGAATCACCTATTTGTGAAACAATCGCCACCTGCCTCAGTGATGAAAGACACCTCTGGCTGCCCTTTGAAGAGCTCTGGTCAAACAGCATGACCAGCTGCCCCCAGGGCTTGGTGCCAGGCACACTGAGGTCCTGCAGAAGCCCTGTTTGGGCCAGGCAGGGATCATGAGTCTAGCAGGGAAGGGACCAGAGACCGCTTAGTAAGGAGGGGAGCAACAGGAGGATATCAGCATCTGAGTACAAAGTCACTAAGATAATGCAGAAGAGCTGTGCAGTAGGCAGAGGCTATAGCAAGAGTCTAGGCCACAAGAAACCTCTTGCTGTCGTTCTATTGCATTGCTTCCAGAGGGAGCTGCCAAGATATGTTGGAACACCTGGAGAAAGGCCTGCCAAGATCCTGAATGTGGCACCAAATCACACCAGATGAGGAGAAGCAAGTCAGCAGTCTGCAGTGCAAAAAGATTGACACCCCACAGCCAAGCTCCTGATTCACAAGGACCCTCATTGCTTAGCTGAATAGGTGTACTTGGCAGTACCAGTTCTTTTAATTCGGCTCAATTCCAGCTTCTCTCTGCATCTTCCATGAACTTTATCTCCTTGTAAAAACAGGGAATGGGAGACCAGGATCACCTTTCCTATGATTTATTGCAGAAGTATGCTGTTAGCCAAGT